CTGTGTAGTCCGCTGAGAGAAGAAGTGAGCAAGCAAGAGGTCAGATTTGATAGGAATGATAGAGCAGAGCTTGACTAGTCGTGGAGGGCAGTGCAGGTGGGTGGATTTTAAATAGTTTTCAAGTATCGTCGGATCTGAATCAGCCATGAGCTTGAGAAGCAAACGTGCACCCCAGTACTATTGGCAGAGCTGGTGTGGATGGACCTGGCGTGACTCACATGGGGTAATGCCCGTGTGTCCGTGTTGGCTTCTGCTCAGGCGGGTGGTTCCTGCCTCGTTCTTTACCAAGCACTTGGGTGCAGAGGGGATTCAATCTTGTGGAAGGAGGCTGGGGTCTGAGAGCAGTGGTTCTTGAAGTGTGGCCCCAGACCAGAAGTGTCAGCCTCACCTGGAACTTGTTACATGTGCAACTTGTGGGCCTCACCAAAACCTACTAAATGAAAGAGCTCTGGCAATAGGGCCCACCATTCTGTTTCAGGAAGCCCTCCAGGTGCCCCTGGTGCCCGCTACTGTCTGGGAACCACTGGGAGGAGCAGAGGCCTCCCATGAGGGTGGCTTACCGCCCACAGCAGGGGACGAGCAGATGGAGGGAACACACACACTTTGCCTGCGCAGAAGGGACGCCCAGACACACACCCTGAGGTTCTGTATAGGAGGAGAAAGGCGGTGTTCAGACCTCACCTTGCCCCAGGCTTTAGAGCCAGGAGGGTTAAGAGCTGAAGAACCTTTCTGTGCAAGTTGTAACTTGTTCTTTTTTTGAGACGGACACAGCCTCTTAGTTCTAGACAAGAACCGAAAGCTGGGAACTGCCAGGCGGGAGCCGGAGCTAGAGCAGCTGGCATTCTTAGCTGGGACCTTGGGAGTCCCACGTGCTCGTGGAAACGTGCATGCACAGCTCGCTTTCTGTGCAGGCCTGTGCTCACGATGGAGCAGCTTGGTTGCTTCGTTCACACTGTCCTAAGGCATGGGCTTGGGATCCCTCAAAGCTGAGTCACTGTTGGCTTTGTCTGAAAGATCATGGGTGAGATCTGGGGCCAAATTCACCAGCCCCCCCAGATGTACACATTATTTGTTTTCTCTCTCCTCCCCGTCCACCCCCTGTGTATTGACTTAAAGATCCAGGCTCATGCAGGGTGCAGAAATTGTTTGTTGGTCAACAAATGAGAGCAGGGACACCCTCCATAATGTTCAAGGCCCCCTCCCCACAGTGCCTGGGGCATAGTGGGTGCTCAGTAGATATTTGTGCATGAATAAATGAATCTTTAAATGTACTTGTTTACTCAAATGTAGTCAGAAAACATTTTTTGCTTCTAAGTAATTATATTCCTTTTATCCCATAATCACACACAATACACAATTAAGGCGATATATAGCTCTGAATTTGGCGAGTATTTTACAATAATGTTTTAATTATCATAAAAAAACTATAAAACCCAAACAAGCAGACAGTTGTTGCTTTTGACTTGCCAGTGATGGACTTGCGAAGACCATTGTCATACCCGTCTGAGTCGGCCTTCAGACGGGGAGCTGCGTCCTGGGCCTGCTCCGAGGGAAGGAGGTGGGCTCAGAAGGTCTCTGATTCTTAGGCGGCACAGTGTGACAGACCTCCGTTATCTGGGGTGCGGCTCAGTCACTTCCATTTGAGATTGTTTCTTATTTTAATGATCACTACCTTCTTCCTTTGGAGTTGAGAGGCTCAGAGATGCTGTTATGCATGATATAATTTTGTTAAGAAGCAAATAATTGCTTCTGAATATCTTCATGAAGTGCTTCTCAGAGCAGCTTAATAATGTGGAGGAGCTAACTGGAGAGCTGGCAGGGGGCATTGGCGCTGAGCACAGCCAGCTGGGAACAAGAGCTGGGAACCTCTGTGGCAGACACGGAGTCATCGTGACTGTCAGAGTGTTTTGACCTGGCGATGCCGTGGGCAGGACCTGGCTCCGTGATGGCAGGGAGGTCTGTCTCCACAGTGTCCACACTTGGCAGGGGGATGGGCGGGATGACAGACGGACTGCACTGCAGCGCACTGCAGCACTGCTGGAACAGAGCCGCCTCCAACAGGGACAGGCGGCAGGGCGGGCGCCGCAGCACACCCTGGGGCTGACCGCAGCTGGGCGGCACTCCCTGTGCCCTTCTGCCCCTTCGCGTGACATGGGATGTTAATCTTGCCCATTGGGCTCCAAACGAGTGCAAACCGTGCTCTGAAACAAATGGGTTCTGAACACTCATTTAATCAATGCAAGATTTGTAGGCTTGCAGAAGAGATAATCGGTAGATGGCTATAGAGGCTTAAACCATTTCAGTGGGATGCATGAGTATCTCTGAGTAGACTCAGAGAGGGATGGGTCCAGCTGGCATGATTGGGAATAAGCAGGGAGAGCTTATAAAAGTGCCACAAAGGATAGCTAGCTGCCTTTCTGCTTGGGATTGAACTCTAACTGAAAGGTGAAATCCTTAGTCTTCCATCGGCTCCGAATGGCGGAGTCCTGCATTCTGCAAAGTTTCCGTTTTCTAAGGGAGAGCATGGGGTAGGGGTCCAGGAGCAGCTCTGACATCGTGCTGTTTGCCATCAGTGGTCACAGGATGATGATGGCCACAGAGAGTTCATTACATGCATATTCATTCAGGATTACTTCCCCTCTGGGGACCGTGCTGCTGAGATGCCTAGCAGCAGCGTCCTCAGAGTTCATGACGTCTGTACGTGTGAAATTGGAACACAGACATTATCTTTGACTGTAAAAGGGGAAAGGTTTTTCTTTTAGTGTTGTTCCCGGACATAGCATATTAGAAAACGGCAAAATTCTTGACAAACAGTCTTCCTCTTGTTTTTGTGGTTTAGTAAAGTGAACTCAGTTTGGCATTCAGCATTGAAAATTTTCCTGTCCAACAGGTATTTACTATCTTTTTACTGTAAGAAAAGAGTTACATTCACTAGGGTGAGACTGTCTGATTCTTGTGCATCTTCTCTTCCCATAACTTTTCCTGCGTGTGGTTATTGTATAGAGGTTGCGCTCCGGGTCCGAGAGCCGGATGGAGTAGTTATCTTCTCGTGCCTGTCTCCTCATCTGCAAAAGGAGGATAGTAACAGCACTTCCTCACCCGATGGTTGTGCCGAGCAGAAGGGTTACTGTTCGCGAAGTGATTAGAACGGTGCCTGGCAGGTGGGAAGCATTCCGTCAGCGTTAGCTCCGCCCGTTGTTGTATGTCACGTAGAATCTGTAAGCTTTGCTCACTGGTGTTAAGATTCATAGTCAGGATGGCAAGGAATGCTGATAAAATATTTCTTTTCCAGGTTATTCCTTTTCATGATTCAGATGGCTGTATTTTGAAAATAGTTACGCTGTTAGCAATCTCAGGGAGAGAGATGTTGTCGCAGCTGTTCAATCAGTTTCTAAAGACATTTAATTCATTGGTCTAAAGATGACGATGATGGCTAGAACACTTATCTGGAACTTAGCATGTTATGAGCCTTTATGTATATTCATTTAGTTCTCACAATAACCCTCTGAGGTAAGTACAGCTACATCTTCATTTAAGAGTCGAAGAAACTGAGGCACCAAAGGTTTTGTTCAAAGTTACACAGCTGTTATTTGGCAGAGCCAGAGTTCTTGATAACTGTGTACTGTCTGGCCCTTGGCCACCTCTTCACCATCATCCTCTATTCTCCTCCCTGCTGTGGTCCAGCCACACGGCTTCTGTTCCATGAATGTCCTGTCTCAGGGCCTTTGCATGTGCTGTTCCCTCACCCCAGCTCTTGGCAGGTCTAACTCCTTCTCATCATTGTGGTCAAACTCAAGTGTCACCGTTCCTGACTTATCAAGATACTGCTCCCACCCCATCACTCCTTATCGTGTTATCCTGCTTGCTCACTTACTAGAGCAGGAAGAGGCCTTTTCTGTCCTGTTCACTGTTAAATACCTGGCACAGTATTATTTAAAATTTGTTGAATGAATATACGTGCTAATGATTTTAATCATGAGTTTAGCTCCTTTTTGTAAAAAACATATATCTGTAACCCAACTCTAATATAGGTGTGTGCATGTGTACGTGCGTGCATGTGGTGTCAATGCGTGAATGTGGAGAGAAGAGTCTCACTGTAGTGAAGTGGTACAGAAGCACAGCCTTCTCTCAGTTACGATCCAGCTCCAACAGCAGGTCCTGGTGTTTATTGTATAGAAGTGAAGCGCCTGGTTGCATTTGTCTCTGAAAAGATTGAGACACATGTTAAAAGAAATGTGTAAGGGTCTCAGGCAGTGACTGATACAAGGCCTAAAATAAATTGTAAAAGCTAGAGCCTGGATCAGGAAATAAAATCTTTTTTTTTTTTTTTTTTGAGGAAGATTAGCCCTGAGCTAACATCTGCTGCTAATCCTCCTCTTTTTGCTGAGGGAGGCTGGCCCTGAGCTATCATCCGTGCCCATCTTCCTCTACTTTATATGTGGGACGCCTACCACAGCACGGCTTGACAAGTGGTGCCATGTCCGCACCCAGGATCCGAACCAACGAACCCCAGGCCACCGAAGCAGAACGTGCGCACTTACCTGCTACGCCACCGGGCCAGCCCAAATCTTTTTTTTTCCCCAGTGCTTGGGTAAAACAGATACTACTTTATATATATATATATCCTCCTTTCCCACGATAATTGCTTTCTTCTACTGCTTTAAATTAAGCCATATTTATCTCATTTGTTTGTTCTAGGGGCCTATCTGCCAGATCTCTTCCAAGTTTCCACTGGGGCCTTTGACAAAGAAGTGGGGTGCCAGGAAGCTGAAACTAGGACTTTGACAAAAAGGGACTTTCTGTTCCTTTAGCTGAGGACTTTGGACGACTGTCGATGCGACAGTCCTGTGTGAGGTGTCAGACTCACTGCCATGCTGGAGAAGTCTGGCCTGCACAGACCTCTGTGATCTGGTTAACTTGAGGGCAGTCCTTCGAATAGGCCGGTGTTAACTGCCCTTCTTTCAGATCACAACCTGACTCTTACTCCTGCTCTGTCCTAGATAACCAGTTCAGGATGTCCATCCTAGAGCGACTGGAGCAGATGGAAAGGAGGATGGCTGAGATGACGGGGTCCCAGCAGCACAAACAGGGGAGCGGAGGTGGCGGCAGTGGAGGGGGCAACGGGAGCGGGAACGGAGGAGGTCAAGCTCAGGTACGAGTCTGTGTTGGCGATCACCTTCCCTCTTGTTAATGTTTTATCGATCAGTGAGGCATTTGGGGCCAAGTCCCCTCTCTGCTGCTGCTGGTATCATTCCTGGCTTAGGCAGAGCCCGAGCGAGTGCTTCCCAGTGCCTGCGATTCCACGTACTACAGTCTGCGTGAAATGGAAGGAGCCTTGGACTGGGGGGCTCCTCAGTTGTTCGCCCCCCTGAGCCTCAGTCATCATCACTGATCTCAGAATTTGCTGCTGTTACCTGGCAGTGGGAGCTGAGAACATCCAATTAAAACACAGAGGCCAAGTGTGACTCATCTGCTGGGGCTCAGAGTTCACTTAGAATCTGTTTTGTATTTTGAGTTCTATCCTAAGTATAAATATAAAATTTAATTGGATTCAGTAATTCATAAGCCTTTTATGAACTCAAGAAGATCAATATGAAAAAGGCCCAGAGAAACTGTTTCTGTAATTCTTCTGTGAGAACATTATAAATTCTATCATCTTTCATGTGTGCTTTTTAATAAATTCCATGAAGAATTTGCCAAGTACAGAGAAATTGCCAAATACTGTTTTGTACTCCCATGAGTCTTGAAGGCTTTATGTAAATTTCATTTAGGAGTTTCATTTTGAGAAAATTTCCTGGGCAGAAATTATTCTTCAGGAGACCCTAGAGATAAATTTAAAAGGTCTGAGAGTGTTTCTTACCTCCACTACTGAGTTATTACCTAAAATCCTCAAATAATTCCCCCTCTTTCTCTTCAAGGTGAGTGATGATTTCTTTTGAACAGTTACATTTTTTTACGTGAACATTTTTAATTTTATGATCCTTGCAAATATCGTGTTAGTAATAGTTTTAATAATAATAAATAGGCAAAATAAAGCATTGTATACCACACCCAAAAACGTAATCCCCTTTTTCCTTGAATTTTCTTATTTCTCCCATCTTCAGAAATCCATGGAAAAGGAAAGACTTGGCACACAGCAAAATATTATTAAGGCTAAGAGAGGCTTCTTTTTCCGCTAATAGTGCTATGTTTTATAAAAGCAGTAATCATTGTTTAATGTATTTCCTGGCTAAAATAAGAGAGTCCCATGAAACTCTTCCTTTTACCAACAAAGGTTATATGGAAATGGAATATAATGTCGTTTTACAGCTCAGCCTTTCAACAACTGACCTGTTATTATCCGGTTCCATATTAACTACTATTGAATACTCTTTCATCAGTTTATGTTGGCTTCAATAAATATGTGTCCACCTGATATGATAGAGATGTGGCTGTTTTTGTTAATAGGAAAAAATTCCCTCTTCATTCACGATCCAGTGACTTCCCTGTGCTCGTGAATATGTCTGTTTCGTGTGTATGGAGTGGCTCTGGCTGGGCCTTGGGGTCAAGGTCGTTCTCCTGCAGGTTTGCATTGCCCAGCTGTTCTCCTGTAAGACGTTTTGACAGCTCTAGTGAGGATGACATTATATCCATCATCTGCCTTTTTATTTTTGCAGGTATTTCTTCCAGATTTAAAAATAAAAAACAATGATGAGCAAGAGTATTTCTGTAGTAGTTGAATTTTATGGGGTTTATTACTGAAAAAAATACTTTTTAAATAACCCCGGAGATGAGAATTAGGCTAGAAGGGTCATTTATGTGGGGGGGGGGGGGGGGGCGCATTAAACGTAAAACCGCTGTCACAGAGACTTGGATAAACTGTTGAGGTTACTTTGATTTTATTTTTCCTCCTTTACAACTGAATCAAGGGAAGAAAACCATGTGGTCAAAATTAGTGAATTTCTCGTCCCTGTGTGCCTCATTGTTACTAATAACACTTAAATTTCTAGATCTCTAACGCTTTCCCCAAAGGACTGGATTATTATTGGATTTTTTGAAGCGATTCTTGAGGGGAAAATAATCCCATCTAAGTGACTTCATTCTCCTTAGGAAGGAACAGGGGAGTGACGGTCCAGGCACCCCAGATGGGGGAACTAAGAGAGCCGCCCTGCTTGGCCCTCTCACAACAGCTTACTACCTGCAGCGTTTACTCCAACTGGAGGCTAGAGCCACCTTTTTTTTTTTTTTTAGCAGTATACGCTTTCCCCAAGATGGATCAGCATGAGGTTCCTAATCCGAGAATCTTCTGGATAGACAGACTCTGGTGTTCTTAGAGTTATGGAAAATTACCTTGTACCACGACTGCAGATGTGTGCTGCTCAGCTGAACTAAGCACATTCTCTTCTCTGTTTCATGATGTCTCTCTGTGTTCAGTTTCGTGTTTCCCATTTCAAGTTGCTAATCATAAAGCACTTGTTCCCCCTACATCAAAAGGCCGACGTTTTGGATGTAGTCGTTGGCCGGCATTTTGGTGGAGGGCTTCTGGTGCTCCGACCGTAACCTGTGCTTCTGCATCGTAGTGCGCTTCTGGCCCTGGGACGCTGGGGAGCTGCTTTGAGAGCCGCGTGGTTGTCGTATGTGAGAAGATGATGAGCCGAGCCTGCTGGGCCAAGTCCAAGCATTTGATCCATTCAAAGACTTTCCGTGGAATGACCCTCCTACACCTGGCTGCGGCCCAGGGCTATGCCACCCTAATCCAGACCCTCATCAAATGGCGGTAAGGCTGGGGTGCAGATGACTGGGGGTCATCCTCATGCATCAACCTGCAACTTCCTCTTGAGCATTTCTGCTAGCAGAGAGAAATCTGGCCTTTCGGGGAGCGTGACAGCCTGTGAGCAAAGGGCTTTCTCTGAGGACAGTTTCCAAGGGAATTTTATGAACTTCTGCCCGAGAAATACTGAGTGAGATGCTAACTGAATGTTGAACTTTTTATTTCCTCTGGGCTCCTAGCAAAACAAAAGAGTCCAGACCACCCTGTGAAATTCGGGACTGTATCTCTTCACATCAGGGATGTTAGGTGCCCAGTTTGGTTTCAGCTTTGTGGGGTTTTATAATGTTCTGGTATTTCCTTTAACGTTGATTAATGGTGCAGTAATTGCTGGTGCTATCTTTTACAGCACAAAGCATGCAGACAGCATTGATTTGGAACTGGAAGTTGACCCCTTGAATGTGGACCACTTCTCCTGTACTCCTCTGGTAAGAAATGGGTTCGCTTATTCCCTGAACTGGTTTCTAGGCTGGCACAGGGATGTGCCTAGTTCCCTTCGTGATCCCTCATTGTTATATGACATTTATCAGAGCTCCGTTGTAATAAATGTTTTATGGCCCCATTGAGATTGCCAGCAAGGACCAGTTTGTCAATTGGCAGCAATGGCAAAGTAAAATATGTTTTGAACTCATATTGAGAAAGCTTGCTTTGTCTTCCTGTTTTTTAGATGTGGGCATGTGCCCTAGGGCACTTAGAAGCTGCCGTCGTGCTATACAAGTGGGACCGTCGGGCCATCTCTATTCCTGACTCTCTAGGAAGGCTGCCTTTGGGAATTGCCAGGTCAAGGGGTCATGTGAAATTAGCAGAGTGTCTGGAGCACCTGCAGAGAGATGAGCAGGCTCAGCTGGGACAGAACCCCAGAATACACTGTCCTCCAAGCGAAGAGCCTAATACAGATAGCTGGATGACCCAGTGGCACAGCGAAGCCATCAACTCTCCAGAAATACCCAAAGGAGTCACCGTTATTGCAAGTACCAATCCAGGTAAAAATTCAAAATTATTGCATCTCAGAACTTGACAGATTTCCCATTTGCTTTCATGCAGCCACCCTCAGAAAAGTCCATAGGATATTCACGTATTTGGGCTTTGTTTTTTTTATGTTTCTGCTTTTCCTTTTAGCTGTTAGAATGTCTGGTGCTTCCTCCCTACCTCCTCCCACCCCCAAATGCAGAAAGTAGCAAAAAACCTATGTCCATGCAAGAAAGAAATACACATTTTGGAGGAGGATTATCTGAATACAGTGTATGCTGCTGGGGAATATTTAAATGTTAGGGACATGTCTTAAGTTCCGGCTTTGCACTTTGTGTCTCTCAGGCATAGAGAAAGTATTATTTCTTTAGGATTCCTAATTTTATCGCCTGTCCTGACTATCCTTTCTACTGTACTTTTCAGAGCTGAGAAGACCTCGGTCTGAACCCTCTAATTACTACAGCAGTGAGAGCCACAAAGATTATCCAGCTCCCAAAAAGCATAAATTGAACCCTGAGTACTTCCAGGCAAGGCAGGAGAAGCTGCTTTCCACTGCACTGAGTCTGGAACAGCCAAATATCAGGAAGCAGAGCCCTAGTTCTAAGCAGTCTGTCCCCGAGACAATCAGCCCCAGTGAAGGAGTGAGGGACTACAGCCGGGAACTCACCCCTCCCACTCCAGAGACTGCAGGATTCCAAGCCTCTGGATCTCAGCCTGTAGTAAAGTGGAATTCCAAAGATCTTTACATTGGTGTGTCTACAGTACAGGTGACTGGAAATCCGAAGGGGACCAGTGTAGGAAAGGATGCCGCACCTTCACAGGTGCGTCCACGGGAACCAATGAGTGTCCTGATGATGGCTAACAGAGAGGTGGTGAATACAGAGATGGGGTCCTACCGTGATAGTGCAGAAAACGAGGAATGCTCACAACCCATGGATGATATACAGGTAAGCATGGAAAAGGTAAGCCTGCAGAGGCTGGTGTGTCCCTCAGAGCTTCCTTGATCTTTGCAGTTTCCAAAGGTCACGTGATTTTCTCACCAGTGAAGGGTTAAAAGTCTGGTCTTATGCGCAGGAATGTTGGAGTATCTTCTTTACTCGGGCCACATTTGCATTCAGTGAATCAACCATTGTGAATCGGGCCTGAGCGCCAGAGACCCAGGTCTCAGCAAAGCCTTCCCTCCTCGCGCCAGCTCCTCAGAACTCGCTCATCGCCCCACACAAGTCTTCTGCTTCCTCCTTGCATCCAGGGTGACTGAGTCACTGTTTTATGTACTAGTTATGAGAGTCACGGCCCGATACTAGCTTGAACAGGAGGCCGTGGTTAGAATTTGAATGATCTAAGTGATTTGATCAGTACAACCATCCTCTCGCCATCGTAAAGGGTGTATACAGTGTGAGGCTCTCATGAGGTGCAGTTATTGATAATTGACTGCCCTTATAATAAGTCTAGAAAATCCAGAGTCCTTTTACACCATTAAACTTGCTGTAGATCAAGAGAATATATACTGAAGTAAACTTGAGTTTAGGCTATTAAGCAAGCAAATTGCATTAATTAAAATATACTATGTAGTGGGCCAGCCCTGATGGTCTAGGGGTTAAAGTTCCACGCTCTCCACCTTGCTGGCCCAGGTTCGTTTCCTGGTTGCGGAACTGCACCACCCATCTGTCAGTAGCCATGCTGTGGCAGCAGCTCACATAGAAGAACCAGAAGGACTTACAACTAGGATATACAACCATGCACTGGGGCTTTGGGGAGAAGAAAAAAAAATGGAAGATTGGCAACAGATGTTAGCTCAGGGTGAATCCTTCCCTGCAAAAAAAAATATATATTTACTGTGTAGAGCAGGACCAGAGAAGCAACCTAAGAAGATGTGTTTGACTTCCTCTCTTTCCAACTTCCCACTGATGTAACCCAAGACAAATGTAAAAGGAAAAACTCACGCAAGGAATTCGGAAGCGCACCCGTGCCTGTAGAAATGATGCAGCGAGAGGAGATGCCTGGAGGAGATCATATCCCCGCCAGCGTTCCTGGGGAGAGGGCTGATGGCTGTACTCTCCTGTTTGTGCATCCCAGGGTGCCCTTCCCGCCAGCCCTCAGCTGTGAGCACAGGGGAGGGAAGGTCGCATGCTCACCAGTGTGCTCCCATTCCTTGTAGGTGGTGGAGAGGCCCCACTACTGACCTAGCAACCACTGCAATCATGGGGAGGCCTGCCAGGGAAATCAAATAATGTTTTAGACCAGGCTGGGCAAATTCTCCTGTAAAAAGCCAAATAGTAAATATTTCAGGCTTTGCGGGCCATGCAGACTTTGTCATGACTATTCTGTCTGCCCTTAGAGTACAAAAGCAGCCTTAGACAACATAAATGAGTGTGGCTATGTGCCAATAAAACTTTATTTACACCAACAGGTAGCAGGCTGGATTTGGCTTTCTGTGATTTGCCAAACCCTGTTTTAAACAATTCCTGATGGAACTCATACCAAATATCAGTACTGAGCAATCTAGGACAATATTTATAAATATAAACATGTAATAATAAATCACCAGACTGTGAAAATCAGCAGCTCAAAAGAGGGGGACCAAGTTGAGCCCCCAGAACAGTGCTTTAGAATAGAAGGTTCTGCAGTGATAGAAGTGTTCTGTGTTTGTCCTGCCCTGTAGGGCAGCCACCAGCCACTTGTGGTACTGAGCTCTTGACATGTAGCTAGTGTGACTCAGGGACTGAATTTCTAATTTTATTTAAGTTCAATTAATTTGTTTAAATATCCATTGAGTGGCACAGCTTTAGAACAGTTGGCCTTCACTGAAACAGAGTTGATACAAGAAATAGAAAATAACCTAAAAAAAATCTACTTTTTTTACTGAGCCTTGAGAGAATAATATTTTGCTAAATTCAGAGCACATATCTATGAAAAAAGCAGCAGTCTAAAGAAATATTTCAGCCAAATGATAAAATAACAATTAAAAATAATGAAATAATTCAAGAAATGGCAAACCAGCGTTCATGGAGGAGTGAACAATCAAACCAGTAACACTGGGGCCGGAGTAACTCTCAACAGGACGGGTGTATGCAGAAGGCAGTTGTTAAGAGGGAGCTCTTTAAATAGAACAGGAATAACGTTTAAAAAATAACCTAGAACTAAAATTGTAAATTATTTTAACAAAACCAGGGAGGTAAAGAAGTGAAGAAGGTAAAGTGTGTTAAAGCGACTCTTCTGTTCAGGGAAGAGCAGATTTTGTTCCACTTGTGACTCTAATAGATAAGTATAGGCTGAAATATGCTTGTTGGAAATGTCAAGTTAACGTCAAGTAACATAAAAACAGCTATCGAATTTCTAAGTCATTGAAGGGGGAAAAAGAAAATTCCTGGGAAAAGTTCAGGAATGGTAACAAAGAGAAAAGCAACAACAGAAATAATAAACAGAAAACGTAATATTGTAGGAATATTTTCATGTATGATTCATTCCCACTTTGGTAACTGATAATTCTATTCAAAGATTCTCAGATTGGGTAAAAAAGAAAGCAAAATTAAAATGAAATGAAATAGAAGGAAAATGAAGCAGTGGTTAAAGATATAACTAACAAATGAGGATAAAAAGAAAAAAGATTAAAAAGTACTGTTCAAGGAGCTGGCCCCGTGGCCGAGTGGTTAAGTTCGCGCGCTCCGCTGCAGGCGGCCCAGTGTTTCGTTGGTTCGAATCCTGGGCGCGGACATGGCACTACTCATCAAACCACACTGAGGCAGCATCCCACATGCCACAACTAGAAGGACCCGTAATGAAGAATATACAATTATGTACTGGGGGTCTTTGGGGAGAAAAAGGAAAAAAAAATAAAATCTTTAAAAAAAAAAAGGTACAGTTCAAGGCAAATGTAAATGTATATATACATATAATTTACCAAGAAGATAGGCAGTCATGAACCATTGTATACCTAACAACATAGCTTCTAAATATTAAAGCAAAAACTAGTAAATATAAAGAAATGTGGAACTATAACCATAGTCATAGTGGAGACAAACACCCTATCTCAGAATTTGTCAGATCAAGTAGATGTAAAAAGGATACAGAAAAAATTGAACAATTAGAAAGTTTGATTTAGTATATATATTTAGTATTTATGATATATTTAGTATATGATATACTTATATAAAATTATGTAGATATATGAATACAATAATAAATATACATATCATTGTTCTTTTCAGATATCCAAGACATATTTATGAAAATTGCTCATATACTAGACCCAAAGAGAATTTAAGTAAAAACCTAAAACTGCACATTTAAAGGTTATCTTCTTTGATCACAATCCAAGACATTTAGAAGTGAATTATATGATTTTTTAGGTCCAACTTCTTAGAATATTATTTGATTTGAAGTCATTTAAATTTCATTGCCTTTTGCAGCCATCACAATAAAATATCAGCTTCTCGGTATCCCAGAGTGTTGCACTTATTATGATGTTAAGGTGTTCTTACACTGATACATGTTTATAAAATGGAAGACTTGAGGAGTGACTATAGATTATAACCTTCGGTCTCTAGAAATTCCCCTTTTTAATACTTTCATAGAAAAAGAAGCAGGGGCCAGCCCTGTAGCCGAGTGGTTAAGTTCACTTGCCCCACTTCAGTGGCCTGGGGTTTTGCCAGTTCGGATCCTGGGTGCAGACATGGCACTGCTCATCGGGCCATGCTGAGGCAGCGTCCCACATGCCACAACCAGAAGGACCTACAACTATGTACTGGGGGGCTTTGGGGACAAGAAGAAGAAGAAGAAAAAAAGATTGGCAACAGTTGTTAGCTCAGGTGCCGATCTTTAGGGGAAAAAAAAATCAAAGTAGGATTTACCTCCTGTTTGAGTCACAAAGCAAGGCTAATGTAGGAGGGAAAGAAAAGCTGTAATATTTTCTCCCTGAATGTTTTCATTTTTATTTCTATTGCAATAATCATTCTTGTTCTATGTTGAAAATTTAGAAAATTACCCGTTAAGTGTTTTTAACAGCTTTATTGAGGTATAATTTACATACCATAAACTTCATCCATTTTAGGTTTGCGTGATGAATTTTTATAAATTTATACAGCTATGCAATCATCTCAGTCCCATTTAGCACCCTCCCATCGCCCCTAAAAGTTCCCTGAACCCATTTGCAGTCAATTTCCGCTCCCTTTCCAGCCCTAGGCAACCACTGATCTGATTTCTATACCCCAGAGTTTTGCTTTTTCTAGAAATTTCATATAAATGAAATCATAAAGTATATCTTCTGTCTGGACTCGTTCACTTAGCATATCGTTTTTGAGGTTGATTCGTGTTGTAAGATAAGCATTTTGTCACCTTTGTATAGATACTTTCAGAACATTTTTAATTCACTTAAAAACTGAAACTGCTATGTTTTAATTTCCATTTTCAAGGGATGTGCAAGGAAATTTTTAAAAACAAGGCCATATCTCTGATTCTGATAAAATATATCTCACTCTACACTAGTTTTAAGGATTCCTAATTGTGTCTATTAGGAATGTATTTTGGATGCAAGTATCAGCAACCTAATTACAGTGGTTTAATTAAAAAATGATTTTTTTCCTCACATGGCAGGAAGTCCAGAGGTTCAGTTGCTCAGTGAAGCCATCAGAGACCACGATTTTCTTCTCGATTTTCTGTTCTTTTTGGCTTTCCTCTTCATGCTTTTGCTTTATGTTTGAATATGGCTTCTTGAGCTTGTCTGTAGTCATGGCAGGAAGAAGAGAGGCAAGAGCTGGGGCATCGATACCTTTCATCAGGAAAGCAAAGCTTTGCCCAAAAGCCTCTGAGCAGACTTCTGTATCGTCTCATTTTCCACAAGTGGGAAATATATCCTCCCCATGTGCATGGGAAGGTGGGAAGTCAAGAAGAAGATGATCATAATTGGCTCTTATATCCTTCATGAGCTGTCCCCTGGGGTTGGGCACATTGCTGCTCGCTACAAAACGGGGGTTCTAAGCAAGGCAAAGGAGGGAGGGTTGGATATTGCTTAGGTAACCAGTAGTGTCACCACATTAATATGACAACTCACTTTAGAACTGCCCAGGCATGGCATCGCTGATTGACTGGTACCAGCTGGGAGTAGACACTAGGCACACACCAGACATTCTCTCAGACTTTACTGAAGGTTTTTGGCCAAACTATGATTTGGAGATAATCAAGTCGCAGATATTCAAGTGAATTGTGTGAAACAATAATGTTGGGGTGAATTGAATTGAGGTGTCAGCTCGCCATCCCTTATTTCTTTCTTGGGAGATGGGGGAGTGGAGGTAAGCCTGGATGGCTTCCCAGGTTCCTTTCTAACCTGAGTGTTCTGTGAACTCCGGATTCCAGGTAAACATGATGACCTTGGCAGAACACATCATTGAAGCCACACCTGACCGAATCAAGCAGGAGAATTTTGTGCCCATGGAGTCGTCAGCATTGGAAAGAACAGATACTGCTGCCATTAGCAGTACAATGAGCTGGCTGGCCAGTTACCTAGCTGATGTCGATCATCTGCCAAATGCTGCCCAGATCAGGTCAGTAGAAGTCCGTGGGTCACTATCTAGGACAAATTCCTGGATTTCACTGGGGACGTGGGAGACTAATTGGACTTGAGGAATGCTGTATCATATAAGACCTTATTAAGGAAAGAAAGAAGCATTGGGGAGAGTTCCGTTGCCACTTTGAAGGCCCTCTCGTCCTCTGCTCCTCCATGATTTTTCTCCCCATATCAGAGCATATGAGACAATGTATCATAATCCTTTCCCCCAGTTCCATTGAAATTTCATAAAGGTGCGATAGTGTACTCAGTGGGTTTAGTATTTGGCATAGTCCTAAATTCACGATGGGTGCTCAGTATGAACCTAGTAACTGAAGGACTTTGACTTAAAGTCAGGGTACTTTCAGCAATTTACCAGACCGAATGAAGCCATGGTCTTAATAGTCCCTAGTGGCTCCTGGTGGACACCATCTTGTGGCATTGATCGGTATGTAACAGATCGTGCACACCAATCACCCATCATCTATCTCCCTGTCTCCTCTTGTTTCAGAAGTGCATATAACGAGCCTCTAACCCCTTCTTCTAACACCAGCTTGAGCCCCGTAGGCTCGCCAGTCAGTGAAATAGCTTTTGAGAAGCCCAGCCTCCCCTCAGCCGCGGACTGGTCGGAATTCCTGAGCGCATCTACCAGTGAGAAGGTAGAGAATGAGTTTGCTCAGCTAACTCTGTCTGATCATGAACAGAGAGAACTCTATGAGGCTGCCAGGCTTGTCCAGACAGCTTTCCGGAAATACAAGGTAAAATAGAACAGAGTCCTGATGTTGTGACATTCTTAAGATCAGGAAAAGTCAGTCATTCAAACTCAAACATGGGCCATTTCTTTTTTTCCTCTGAATTTATAGAATCTTTATTTGAAATTATTACATCTCATGAAATTATTAATAATTTTCAGAAGCTTTAGTAAAATGAAACTGACCAGTAATGTGATGGTCATCACCATCTCAAGTTATTGTCAGTAATAATAATGAACATTTATTATTTAGTTAGTGTAAAGTAAGTTGATATCTCTGCCCTGAGACATTTATGACCCAAAGCAGGGGTTTCCAACTGGAGGCTTTGGGCTGACTTTAGGCAGCTCATAAACTCCTAAAATTTTCTGTTAAAGAGTCTGTATGTGCATTTTCGGTGGGAGAGGTTCCATAGTCTTCCACAGATCCTTAAAGGAGTCTTTGACCGCCTTGAGAAGGTGTTGAAAGGCATTGACGATCCATCCAAAAGTAGAATACTTGGGGTTATTGTAGGAAAGCAGTGGAGATCTGGCAGTTTATAAGGACAAGTAGTACAATACCTAATTTGTGAAATACTTTGAAAATGAATATTTTTTAGGCCTCCTGATATCCAAATATCATAGTTCTATTTAGAAGCAAGAATAGTTGGAGATTTATTCTGTAAATTCATTTTTCCTAATTTATACTTATAATTATCACTGTATTTTGGTAAACCTAGTGTCTCAGTTCTGAGAAAGTTAGTTAAATGAGTAACGATTCTGTTTAAGTCTTAAGAAAGTCCTTTACTAAATCATTATTGATTTGTTTTTCCTCACCTTACCCTTAAGGGCCGACCTTTGCGGGAACAGCAAGAAGTGGCTGCTGCTGTCATTCAGCGTTGTTACAGAAAATACAAACAGGTAAACCACAGTTTGGGGTCACGAGAGGAAATGTGCCTCGCCCAAGCAGTGCCAGGCCCCTGAGGATTCATTTGTTCCAAATGGAAAGAAACAAAAACACAAAATCACCCGCAAATAAACTTAGGCCACAAAATGATTTTGTTCACATTGCTGGCCTTTTAATGTTAGCACCTTCCTGAGATACTGGTCTGATACAAAGAGTTATTTGTGTTTGAAGTCAGGTTCTTTGTTCCAGTAATTCACCTATAAATTCTGTAGTAATAAAGAACTCTAGGGAGCTTGATATGGTGACTGGAGAAGATAAATCCTGGCTATCATCTTTGACCTTGAATCCCATAAGTTATATGATCTTTAGCTGTTTCTCCTTTCAGCTTCTTCTTGTCCATTTTAAAATGAAGAATTGTAAAAATGTTTGAAAAATCTTAAGAAGCCCAAAGCATCTTAAACTGCTTTTTCCTTCCTTAGTTAAGAGATGCAAGAATGTCTACATAGTCTCATGCAGTATTCCTGTTTCCAGAACAGCCTGTACGGTTACATAACTACCGTCAAGTGGGAAAGGGAACTAATGTTTATGGAGTGCCCACTGTGTACCACATCTTTTAAGCACATCATCTCATTTGCCCCTTACAATTATTTGAAGTAAACAATTTTATTTCCATTTGACAGATGAAGAAGCTGAAGCTCAGAAAAATTAAGTAAAAATTAGAACTTTCTAACCATCTAGGTGATTATAAAATATAAAAAATTGCCTAACTGAGTTTTGACTAAGTCATATGATAAAGTTCAGTCCTGTCAGATTCTAGAACCGTTTATTAGGTTGTGCTTTAAGTAGGATTTACATTTTTATTTAAGGAATAATAAATGCCAAGAGGTATGATAGTTCAGTAGATTCTAGAACCTTTTATTAGGTTGTGCTTTAAGTAGGTTTTACATTTTTATTTAAGGAATAATAAATGCCAAGAGGTATGATAGTTTCATGAAAATTTGAGATTATTTTCTTTTGTTCGGATCTAGGCCTCGCTTTGATTTCTGATGTGGGTTGCCGTTTTCTCGAGTTTCTCTAGGATGAAGCCCAGTTAATGGGGGTGGAGTGGGGGCACATCTGCACCTTGTAGCCAGTTGAGTTCATGATCCCAGAAAATGAAGGTTTATTGTGTAAACGCTGACACCGCAGTACCTGTAGCCTTGCAGCAGGGAGCCGTCCTGGCTTCTGTTTGGTGAGCAGGCTTCACATTAGCACAAGGGATGCACAGAATCACTTTCAAGTCTGGGATTGCAGCAGGTATTTATTCCAAAATAGGAATTTTTAAAAAAATCTCCTCCCAAAGAAGTGTTGTCTACAGCCAGAAGATGGAAGGCATTATTTTTTGAAATACTGACAAATATTTTGGAAGATGGAAGGCATTAATGTAGCCAGATTGCCTTTTTTTTTTGGTTGGGAGTTTTATTGGTTCTGGTTTTTAATTTCATTATATTCAGCAATCTAACATTAATCTTGTATTTTCTGTTTCTCCCCCAAGCTGACATGGATAGCCTTGAAGGTAATGATACACCCAAGTCCTCTCACAAACCATTCCACCAGAGTCACAAATTCACACCCATCACCAGCTACAAGAAGGGGCCATTAAGATGGCAGGGTCATGGAACAGGCATACTCCCCTTGCCAGGCCACCTAACCACAGTGCATCTATCCTCTGGGGACCATGTGGTTATTCAGTTGGAGAGGGTTTTGGCAGTAACAATCGTTGGACATTTTTTCTTGGCCAGTGTCAATCTGAAGAATCCGTCCAGGCCAATGGCCATGAGCCCAATGACCCACTAAGTAAACTTGCCTTTTTCCCACTGGGCTTCACTGTGGCCCGGTAGGTTCTGAACGTGCAACATACACAGGCCAAGGTGATGAAAACCACAGAAACGCTGTAGAATACTGCGTTCTTGTCTTAAAAGACTTTTGGACTAATGAAAATGTAAAGCAGGTCAGATAAATCTAAAGAGGATTCTTGCAGAAGGGTCCTGTATTTGGACATTCTGAGAAGTCAGTTTCCTTCCCTCATTCCCCCTCATACATGCAGAGATGGACTTAGGCACAGGGGTTTTCTGACGAATGTTTTTCCCTGCAATGGTAAGTTGCCTTCTTGTAAGCAAAGTGCTTCATTGTGACTTCTTGTCCCCAGAGTCATATTCTATTTCATTAGCAAGTTGGACAGAGCATTTTTTTAAACAGGGAGAGCTCTGTATTTTTAGTGCCTAGAGACTGAAATGGAGGAGAAGTCATTCTCCCGTGCCTTCGTCCCTCGCTTTGATAGCTCTGCAGCAGGCCGGCTCGAGGCCGTGCTGGTACAGGCTCCTAAGCAGTCCCCGATTCTGTGACAGCTTTCCAGGTTTCATGGTGTCACCCCTGTGTTGGTCTTATGAGTGTTAATCTTTTGCAGGTTAGAACGGCTTAAAGGTGTCAGCGTTTCATGATAAGCCTTGTATTTGGGACCTTGTAACTCAGAAATTTGTCATATGGAATGATAGTTAGGAGTCGGATGCTGACTGCTAAGTAGACTTGTGTATGGTGGGGATTGGGAGGCACAAAAAATGTTCATTAAAAATGTTTCAAAACTGGAGAGTAAATAGTAGTTGTAAACATTTTTAATTTTACTTCTTAAACGTGTTTAAGATTCTCACATGTCTAAGTTTATTGCTATTAAAACTTTTTCTCAACAAGGGCAAAAGATTTTGATATTTTGGGGAAAAAACACATTTAAAGCAATACATTGTCTGAAGACAACCCTTAAAGTATTTCGCATTTCGGAAAGGTAGGTGAAAAGATTCCTAGTTTGCCTCTTTAGTGATTAAAACCAAAACAGAGACTATGATACTAAAGGGCGCTCCCCTAATAAGCTCAAAGGACGCACGGACTTGCGTGGCTCCTGTTGTTACTGTTTTGCTTGTTCTTGTTTCCCCTGCAGTATGCACTTTATAAAAAGATGACACAGGCTGCCATCCTTATCCAGAGCAAATTTCGAAGTTACTATGAACAAAAAAAATTTCAGCAGAGCCGGCGTGCTGCCGTGCTGATCCAGAAGTATTACCGGAGTTATAAGAAATGTGGCAAGAGACGGCAGGCCCGCCGGACGGCTGTCATCGTCCAGCAGAAACTCAGGTGGGTGGAGAAGATTTCCTGGAGGTAAAGCTGTCTGGGGACGAGAACCGTCACGGTTGACAGTGTTGCCCTGTGCTGGTATAGGGGTCTGTGTAGGGACTAAAGCATCTCGCAGTTCTTTTCTTTCCAGACCACTCTAGATGTTATGACTTTGTATAGTTATGCCTGTGCTATTGGTCTACTTTTTTGTCTATTTAGTTCCTTTTCTGGCCACCCCCCACCCAATTATTTTATGTCACCACCCAATTTCAACTTGTATCCGAATTTGGTGGGACCAAAGTTTCTACTCAAAAAGGTAGCGCTGTAAACTGTAGCATTACTACACGTAAGACCTGGAAGAGTAATTCGAGTTAAGCTATTCCATTTTAGGGAGTGTGGTAAAAACTTTGAACACAGTAAAATACTTTGGTAGAAGAAATGTAGAAAATAATAACCCAAAGAGGGTATCAAACTCAGGCGAATCAGTGTCTAAATGAAGAGAGCCCGCCGGATGCCACAAGGCCGTCTCAACAAGATGAGCCTATAAAGAGTTGTGAGAGAACGGTTGACATCCGACTTTCAGTCTGTCTCCCTTAAAGCTGGATGGGAGCGTTCGTCCCCGCCCTGCCTCCTCTTCCACCGTGCCTACACCCAGTACGGTAGAGGCAGTGTTGTTTGTGCAGTTGGATTTGCTGCGTGAACTGTTGAAAAGTCCTCTCTCACTGCTGACCTTTTTTCAACTTTTGCAAATTAAGCTTTACAGCACCCTTCTCGTGACAGTAATTAATATTCTGGCTTTTTCAGGAGCAGTTTGCTAACCAAAAAGCAGGACCAAGCTGCTCGAAAAATAATGAGGTTTCTCCGCCGCTGTCGCCACAGGTACATTCATCCTCATCTATACATTTTGCTCGTCAAGAATAATGCAACAGCCCTGATCTTCTTAACCACTCATTAACTCCTACATAAAGCTAATCCCCCTGCAGGTCCTCAGGGTGAACGTCCTAAGTTACAGTAGGATCACAGAACTCTAACTAGGGACTGAGTTGCTGCTCCTGGAATGTGGGGAGGTGTTCCCGACTGTGCTGGAGATGTTAATGGAGATTCATGCCAGTGTTTTTCTGTTTTAATTTGAGTGTAAGGGCAACTTGGTTGGACGAACTTTTAATTCCAAGTTTCTGTTTAACCTCTTATTTATATGCCACATTACAGTGTGTTCTAAACCCTTATTCTGCTAATGTGTGTCCAATCAGAAAATAACAGTTTCTGTTCTCAGGGAAAGGATAGAAAACCACTAATTCCATCCCAGTTTTCTGATGTAGAATTTCCACTAAATAGTTGGTGCCCCCTGCTGGATGTGCGACAGCTGACGTGCTCTGTCGACTGTCAGTTAAAGCGAGTCAGTGATGAGGAAGAGGAGAAATTATTAGAATGAAATTGTGCAGGAAAGGAAGAGCATCTGAGATTGGAGGCACATTTTCAGTGAGAATAAATGGGCTTCTGTGACTCTAGCGTTCCATGGAGACACAGCATCTTCCCGTGGAGCTAAGAGGAGTTTCTCTTTGTTTCCTCAAACGGGAGGTTTCTTTGTGAAGACGAGGTTCTTTACTTAGATTTGGGGGGCTGGTGAGAAGTGTTTTGTTTTCCTTATTTAGGTTAATTTTCCAGTCCGACACCTGTAACAGCAGCGGCCTGAGCTGTGTTGAGATGACTCTGTGGTTTTGCTGTTTCTTGTGCATCCATCAGGAGCTGCACAGTTTACAGAACCCAACTTTAAAGGAAGCTCTTTAATGTCTTATTTCCTCTTCCTGTTTAATTGTACCAAAAGCTCAAGTGTCCAGATTCAATTTTATCCCTGAGAGGTTTCATTTTACTTGAGTTTTTCTTACTCCTAAAACTATCTGCTTGCTAACTTTGCAAATATTTTGACTTTTGAGGCTGGCTACTTGTGCTTTTACTTAAATTAACAAAAGAATTCTTTTATATGACAATAGAAGGAAACATGCACAGAGCCACACATCAATAGTAATACAAACTGTACAAAGAACGTTCTTGAGGATATATGTGGTATTCTCTAGCTAATGCTGTGAAAGAAGCTAATGTACACTTACCAGAGAGCTCAGCAACCCGTCAACTCTACCATGTAGCAGTCGGGGGTTCCCCCACCATGGTTAGCTAACCGATGAGATACCAACATCAGTGCTCCGAAATAGGAAGGCTTTGTAGGAAATGCACGTCAAAATACGGGGCATGGTTATGACGTGATGAAGTCAATCCTACCAGCCTTCGCAAAGTCCGTCTCTCTTCTTTATTACTCAGTCATATCTTTGACTTGGCTGTAAATTACTTGCAACTAAATACTTTCTTCCTTTGGTGGGCACATCCAGGGCTCACAGGGCCTTCCCCGTGTGTTCTCACATGTGCTCACGCTCCCTTCTTCCCTTTTCCTGTCCCACCTGCAAAATGAGAAACCCAGGAAGACTCTATCCAGCACTGCTGAGACTGTCGTTAACACTCTCCCCATAGGTTTTATTTTCAAGAAATCACCTTAACATTGCTCTTCTTTAGGTCACTGCAAACAAACCAGAATGTTCACAAGTTAAATTTTCCTTGTTTCTCCTAATCTTATCTTCAAGCTTTGAAAATACGTACAGTAAGGCCACCTTGTTGATTATGAGCGAGATGACATAAAGTCCTGTGCTCCTTTTCTCCTTTTTTTGGCTAAGGCCGTGCCATGTTTCCATTGAGTGAGTGGAGAGGGTCAGATATTTAAGCAAAGCGTAGATGCACAAAAAGGCTGCCTCCCCAAGTAGGCTACACCGAGGAATCCTTTTACTCGTGTTTTTAGAGTTCTCTTTTTGTGAACTAGAAGAGAAGAATTTCATGAAGATTTTACCTCGTAAGTCTGAGAAGAAGATTTGTTATGAAGGAAACGTCAGATTACAGACTGAATTTCTATCCATTGTTTGGAATTAAAGACCCCTATTGACTCTTTTTGTTACCTGCCCTTTTGTAGTTCGGATGTTAGAAAAATGAGGAGGCAAATTTTAATAACCTCTGTGTACTGACTGTATAGGCTCACTCTTCACTTACTGTTCCTATATATTCAGTTAAGGAACTTGAAGAAATCCTGAAAAATCTATCCCTGAAGTTCGAACTCATATATTCCCTAGGATGTATGTAGCCCTGTTTCCATTCTGGGTTATTGAGTACTATTTTAAGAGACTGTCATGTTTATTGTCCCTTAGAAGCATTAAAATCAACATTAAAATAAAGTCTCGTATGACACTCACTCAGAAAAGGTAGGTAGGTAGTGGCTTCAGGAATCCAGAAGTGAGACATCTCATTTCTTACGGATTTTGCTGTCATATGACCCCGACATTTTTAGACTTAAAAATAAATTGGTAAACTTCCTACCTGCTCATCTCACATACCCCACCACCACTCTCCTTTTCTTTCTCTCCAAAAAAGGAACCACTTGATACTCTTTTGTTGAAGTAAAGCTATTTATAAGATTTCTGTTGTGACCCTCACATGCTAATAGCTCTTTGGTGTTGTTTTACTGTCTAAAGCCCCCTGGTGGACCATAGGCTGTACAAAAGGGTGAGTGTAGCTGCCTGCTAGCCAGTTTATCTTCCATTTTCAATATTTTGCTTTTTGCTTGCTTGCATGGGGCTGCAGCCTAGGTATGCCAGTAAGTTTCACATCCATTTTGAATGAAATAAGATAAAATAAAAACTAACCCTAATTACTAACAGTGCTACTTTATACAACAGGAAAACAGTCACATCCAGTCGATGTACCAATGCATGACCTAGTGGCAGGGAGCATCTTCTGAAACTGCCACAGGGCATGCTTAGAACTTGATGGAGAAGTCTTCAGTATAAAAAAAAGGCTGGTGGTACAAGTGCAAATCAAAATGAGGCTACACTATAAGAAAACATTGGGCAAGTGGTTATTTGTGATTAAAATAATTTGCCACATGAAACTTTCTTGACTACTGCTGTGTCCAAATTTCTAAAGCGAGAAGGCTCACTAAGGGGGTACTGGCTTTTTTTTTTCTTACCTAATCTATTTCTTGTTTAGAATTACTGTTTCCCCATTCCCCTGTCCCTATAGTTTTATTTTCTAAGTCTCCCTTTCCCTGGTGCTATGGAGTGAGCCAGTACACCAAGCCTCCCTTTCAGAACCAGCCCAGGACATTCCTCGCAAGCTAGTGAGCAAAGCTGACTGCCAGCATTTAGTGGCAATGCTAAATCAAGAAAGTGTAGTGGAAAGTGTCTTAAATCTGTGGATTCTCTATTGCAGTTAAGAGTGGAGGTTCGAATAGAATTTGTATTTTAAAGAAATGATAATGAGCAGGTGGTCAGTGGGCACTCGTAGTGTTCTTGAGATTTTAGAATCCGGTGCTGATTTGTAAGTGTGCCTGAGGGGCGGAAGTCTCTGCTAGATGGGACTGTAACTCGTCTTAAGTTATAATAAAGGATTTAGTGTCAGAAAACTGTTTTTTTAAAAGCCATGAATAAAATTCACCAAAATCAGACTTGAATTTAGATTAATTTGACAACTTTTCATCCTATAGATAGTCTTAAGGAAAGATGCATTTAAAATATGACATGGGAATTATCTCTATCAACTCGACGACATCCAGCGCCCTCCCTTCTTAACGTCCCACGAATACTTTATATAGTCATGGGTAAGATTTCTGAGAAAAGATTACAATTCAAAAAATCTAAAGCTTCTGGAGATATTATTTCCCATCTCACTACATTTATGTTGATGCTAATTTTTATTTATTATATTTTAAGCCAAGAGTCGGCAAACTTTTTCTTAAAAGCCCAGGTAGTAAATATCTTAGGCTTCATGGGCCATACAGTCTCTGTTGCAGCTGCTCAGCACTGCCATTCTAGCATGCAAGCAGCCATAGGCAATACATAAATGAATGTTCGTGGCTGTGTTCCAATAAAACTTTATTTACACAAATATACATTGTGCTGGATTTGGCCCACGAGCCATAGTTTGCCAACTTACAATGATAGGAGAATTGAGTTTTTATAAGTTCTTTGTAAATCTAGACCTTATCCCTAGAAAAGATTTAAAGTCTCACCTAATTGAAAACATGGGTAGTAGCTGAAAGAGAAACTTGTTTAAAAAAATAATAAAGGAACTACATTCATTTGTAAAATTAACTAGTTAGTCCTCTTTAGAATTAGGCAGTTGTTTACAGCTGATATATTTCAGGTCCCATGTGGTAGAGCGGGCTCAGAGATGTCTGTGTTTGAAATATAAGAGAAAAAGAGGAGAAAAATCTCCATTTCTCTCTTTCTATTCCTGCTCACTCTCTGCATACAGAGATAATATTTCTTCCCATATTAAAAACCCTCCAAGAGAACAGATGCATGCTCTATATTCAACTTAACTAAAAGTTGTAGTGTCTTGCATGTCACATGCAATTAATATAGCCTGCTGCAAGGAACCAACGTTTTAGTAAAAGTGGTTGCTTCTGCACTTTTGAGGCTTGTTAGTTTCTGGTATGTTAATGATCATTTTTAAGAGTACATTTTCTAAAAGTGCTTTTCAGTGCCAACCAGCGTCCCTACCTTAATTTCTTTAGTGCCTGCTGCATTCTATTGTGAGCTCCTCAAACTCCTCCTCCTGCATGGAAAGTTGGAATTTCATAGCATCCTTCATGCTTCTCAGTCTTCAGGGAATTTGAAAGATACAAGCTGAGAAGTGTTAAGGTTCCTGCTAGTATGGTCATGTTTATCTAACTGTCCAAATTGGGAAATAGCTTATCTGTGGCTTTGTCTAATTGCAGATAAGATCTCCTCTCCCTCTGTTCCATCAGAGAAGTCACAATGGCACTCCCTCTGATAGTCCCCAACTTGAAATCTCTCTTGGGAGGCAGAGCATTCATTCTCTGAGGAGGATTTATATTCCTGGAATTTATGTCAAAGACAATAATATATTTATTTTATTAATTTGTAAAATATACCATATTTAAGACCTTTAAGGTTTACACATCGAAAGATAATATTTGAAAACTTAAAGAATCAAGTTTTATGGCAGGGTGTTTGTAAAACAATATTTGACCCCAACTCCTAGATTAATGAGGCGGAAGGATATGTAAGGAAGTTGGCTTGTCAGTCCTCAGAACTAAGACACAACAGGCTAATTCCAGCAGCCTAGCAATCAGAAAATACCATTTGTGTCTTCAAATGTTTAGTCGTTGCTTGGGGAAGGTTAAGAAAAAGCACCAAATACTCCTCACTGAGTCCTGCTCATTTTTACTTCCATCGTAGCCCCTAATTTATCCAACAACTTAAAATAGAGTTATCAAATTCTTGGTACTGTCACAGGGATTTGTTTTGTCTTGGACGCAATGATTCTCTACTTTAGAGAAAACTTTTATTATACACAGATAACTTCAATCAACCGTTTTAGTTATTTTTCTTAGTTAATTTAGGTGTTATACTACTTTCAGCATATGCCTGAAGGATTTTTAAGGCCGAAGAAACTTTCAAAGTGCACAGGCTGGAAAAACTATTTCCAGTTGGATTTTGAGTCTAACAGGATGGTATTCAGTGTTACAGCAGAAAACCCAGATGCCTCCTATGTAAAGGAAGTCGCAAGTAATTGGATTACACGACAGATTTATCCTCAAGGTCTTGAGACTAAAAAGGACAATGCCTCTTTTTCTAGTTAGAATATGAAATTCCCACTTCTCTCTCTAAGACGTTTCTTTTTTGTGGGTATTAGAAAGTGTTCTCATACATGAGTGAGACCACTCTCTAGAAAGCAATTTCTAGACAAATTCCTTCTTTCACTAGATGGGATAATATTTCTGAGAGAGGGCTTTAAAACCCATGACAGTCACTACAGGAATTATAAACAGTGAGAATTCTGGTATTTAAATAACCTGTTTCTTGTAACTTGCTGGCCTAGTTACCCGTGTTCAATAAAGGTGGGTGAAGCTATCCTCCTGGGATAAAACAACCTCATTGGAGGAAGAAAAGATAAGACTTTTTTGTTCACAAATGTGTAAGCAGCAGATTTTCTCCATATTTGCTGACTGGGCTTTCAAACACTAACCTTGCCAGGTGCTGTCAGTTTTCTTGGTAAGTAGTGGTGTCAACACTGACTATTGGGAGCAGCCTTGGGAAATGTTTCAGTGGGTCCCTGTCAGGTTCTGCAGGTTACGCTTGCCCTTCTGCTTTGGTATGTACACTTTATCCAAGGGACAATTCTCTAACAATGCCTGAAAATGTATTGTTTAATTGGGAAAAGTCAACAGCGCTCTAGGTCGACAACCGTGATGTCACCCTCCTTTAGTTCAATTTAACAGGAGGTATAGTTTCCAAGTTGTCCAGTATGTTCAGTGAGGAGGAAGAAATGAATGTGGGATGTGTCATCATGGATGTAATTTAAATCTCCGAAGTAATTTTGTCTTACTTGCTTCTTTTAGGGGATGAATCTTTTTGGAACACAGTGGTGTGTGTTAAATTGCAGACAACATGCTCTGTGTCGTTCTTATTGGGCCTCTCTGTCTTTTTTGTTTTGCAATCCAAATGAGATTTCTGGAAAATGGCAAGATCTCTCTTTTCCTAAATTCCCCACAAGCTATTGCAGCTCTCAGAGCAACAGGTAACTAATCAGAAAGCCGCATCTGGCTGCCCTGTATATTTTTGACGTCCAGCATTGCGAGAATATGCCTGCTGAAATCCACTGACTCATGAAACATTTCTCTGGCTGAGCATTACTGAGTAGATGTAATGAAGCGGCTTTGCCTTATGCTTTACCCATGGAGCCATTGTTTGCTACAAGTTTCCGAAGCAGGCCTACTGCATTTACTCCTAAGTTATCGTTGGACGTCTGATGGAAGTAAACCCTGTGGGCTTTGCTGGCTTTCAGTGCTGTTGCTTACTACATCACTTCAGTACATTATGATGCAACATTTTTTTTTTTTTTTGGTTGAGACTGCAACAATATCCCAAAGTGGTGATTATTTTCAGCCTCGAATGCTTGGGGAAATCCTGGGATTGTCTTTAGTTTTAATAGTTGAATGGTCACAGGTCAAAGTCTTGCTATCCGAATTACTTTGACTCCAAGCCAGTAATATGAGCACTGTTTTCCAGGTTACTGACCTGAGGTTCAGAAATGTGGTCCTTGCAGCTCTCGTGATGGTAGCGATAGCCTTGCACCTACGAAAGCTATAGTTTCTGTCCTGTGTTGATCGTCTTTACAGACTTTACAGACTGCTTTGCCTGTCTTCTGTGTGATGAAACTCAGGAGTCAGTGTAATTATAACGAGATTTGTTTTTAGATAACCTGGGCAATTTTAGGTTTAGTTCTTTCTTAGCCTAACAGGTATAATTCCATAAGAGAATCAAAAACTCAGTAATCCTTACCTGAGGTTGCATAACAGAAACACAACAAAAGTTTACTGAACATCTGCATTCTAAGTTTCATAGATATGGTGACCATAGGTACTGGATTTTCAAGTATAATTCCAATTTCAAAAGTTTTGGTCTGTATTTACCAACTTTGCATACTGAAAAATAGGCTGGTAATATCAATGAAACCAGTTCAATGAATTGATTTTGGTTTAGGTCTATAAAATTGATTTTTTTTCCTCCACAGAATTTTTCAGTTTTTTTAATATCATGTGACTCCAACATTTGTAAGACATAGTAGTAATAACAGATGAAAAGAAAAACATTTTATAAACTTTTTTTTCAGTGACAAGCAGGAATAATTATTATTACAAAACAAGTACATACTCATTGTAGCACATTTGGGAAATAGAAATAAGAAAGGAGAATCACCCAGAGATAGTAACTGTTAAGCTTTGATTGTGTATCCTTCTCGTGGTAGATGTATTTTTAGTTAACATACATCTTTTAATGATTATTCATGTCTTGACTAACAGACAAGGCAACAACAAATTTCTGTAACTATTTGAAATTCTGATTTGAAACATCTTTCTTAGAATTTGCTAACAAAATTCTAGTATCAGATGTTGTTTTAAATCACTTCAGAGATGTAATTGTTTTCTGTTCCTTTGGAGGCAATATAGCATTCAAACATTATTTTATCCAATTGACGTTTGATACAAAACCAAACAAAAAATTAGGCACTTCTATCTTGTTCTAATAACCTACCCTCAAGTAACATAAAACTCTATGATTTCAGCAGGGCAGATTGTACAGTCTTTCAGTTTCATCTAGACCATGAGAGGTAGATTAACAACATGGTCTGCAAATTGCAAATTGGAGAGTGAGGCTTAAAATCTTCTGTTTCCTTGATTCTTAGACCCATTCTTTTCACATGTCTCAAATCTGTGTCACAAAATTGATAAGTACATTTTATGTGGAAGTATTTTTTTCTCCAAAACTTTGTAATAAAACCAGCATAGGGTCTTATAAAGGATGATGTCTTAGAATTGAGAAAATATAGTTGTTAGTTGTCGTGAGTTTTCAGCAACATTCTCATCTCATGCCATGGAAATTTTCCAAATGCATATTTTCTGTAAAGCCTTTTTGAAAAATCAATAACATAAGAATTGTTTTTTTAATTTTCTTGTTATCTTGAGATATTATTAGAAGCAGCGGAGTGGAGTGGTGAAGTCAGACAAACGTGGGTTCTAATCCCTGCTCTGCCGTTGAGTAACTTTATTATTTGGAGCAGGTTACTTAATTCCTGTAAATCTTAAATTCTACGTTTACAGTTGGAGATAATGGTGGCGTTGTAAGGACTAAATAAGGTAACAAATATTAAGGAACCTGTACAGCTATTGGAACATAAGCGTTCTCTTCCTTTTTCCCTATTCCTCTTTTAACGACTTTCTGTAAAAAAATGCCTATGCCATTTAGGTCATTTTGATATCATTTATAATGCTAGTGTACTGTGACAACTTCATCATGAAACTAAGAACTAAATCCTCCACTTTAGCTCAGGAGTTATGAAAGCCTAGAAAATATATCTGAAAATTGCAACGTCGCATTTTCCAGTGTAGACGATCAAAGTCATGTCTGCGTGTGGACGTGCATCTCTTCTTAACTTAGTGGTGTGTGAGGCTATCACTAGTTTTATAGCTGAGTATTTACCTGGTAACTTTAAAACTTTGTGAAAACTTAGTTGACTTTTTAATTCAGAAAGAAACTACAAAAAACTTCAAAAACAAATGTGACCATTTTAACTAAAAGAAAAATGTCAAGTTATACCCACCATGACCAGCTGATTACAGATTCCTTGGTATGAAAGTGTATAAAACGTTCCTGGTTTAGAATTCACTCTGCTTTTTATTTCATCTCAATGATGAACCTAATATTTTTAAAGCATTGTTTTTCATTCTAGAAAAATTGTGAATGGATATCTTTGTATTTATGCTATCAGATTTTGAGTTCAGAATTCTTCAAATTCTAGAAATCTCATCAGTGATGGAGCCACTATTGCGTATTTGTGAATGAGTCCTGTACTAGTGCAGAAATAAATTGTAGTATTTGAAGTAGCATGCACATTTTGCGGTAATTCAGCAACTAGGTCTGCACAAGTACAGATATATTGCATGCCCAGGAGTAAGGTGGCATCGGTGCATGCCTTGCATTTTTCCAGCCACAGGGCTGTTAGTATAGATGTTGCATGTTTAAAAATTGAACACAGAATAGAGCATGTTTCAATTTTTAAAAAGCCATTTATTTATCAACTATGCATGTCCAAAATTAGGGACCTATAATGATGCACAATTCTGTACTGTAATATCCAAATTACCCTAAAACTTAATAATCCATGGTATGTTTAATTGCAAAATTTAAAACTAAATAATACCTGGATCCAGTTATAACTGAACATAGCACTGTCCTCTAAATGTGCCCGTTAAGAAAGAAGGATTTAACAGCTTTGAAGATAAACAGTTTGATCAAGCTGGGCTTGGTGTATTTAGTGAATAAATCAGACAAAAAGCAAATTTTCAAACTTTTTAATTCTTTTTCGTATTAATGACGATAAAATGACAGAGCTTTTTTTCTGAAAGAGAACATCTTCTCTTTGAAGAAATTGTATCGACTTTGCAGAAACGATTCTGCTTGGAGGTGGTAAATATCATTGTTTTCTCAAGTTGCTATTATAGCATATGTGCCATTCCATTGACTTTCAACCTATATAATATGGCAATAACTTATTACTGGTTTTCAAAATGTTTTCTTCCTACTCAAGAGTTATCAAGAAAGCAAACTAGCATTCATTTTAAAATAAAATTTAAATTTTTTAGTACAACTTAAGATAACAGGTGAGAACTTACTCTTAGAGAATCAGAAAACTATATTTGGGAATTATTGACCTCTGTATAGGCCCCTATTAGAAAAACAAATCAGACTTCTTCTTGTCACACTGTTGAGATAGAGTGTACATGTCCTGAGAAATGGCTGCCTCTGTTTGGCTAAAACCATCCCCTCACACCCGTTTTGGGGAAACAAATGTTATCATGCAGCGTGTAGCACTGCAAACTGTCTGTGACGCACACAGCGTGCACTGGCTTCAGAAGTTAGACCTTAAAGTCACACTTACATCTACATTCACTTACACACTTACATTCTGAAATTAAGGCAAGCTCTTAATTATTTGTCAGTAAAGAGAAATATTCTTAGAGCTTACAATCTCTTCCCTGATACCCCATCTATACCAGGCAGCCATATTCAGAAACCAAGGCAAACTTTAATATTAAAAAATACAGGCTGGAAGTGATAGTGGACAAATAACTTGCCAATATGACTCTATAACTTTTCCCATGACTTCTATGACTCTATAACTATTTCATTTAAATTCGATTACTGCAACATGTTTGATAAATAGAACAAAGTACCTTATTGGTATTGTACCGTATTGCTGTCCCATCTGGGAGCAGTGCCCTGAACATCTTTTAAAGCTACCGGGTGGAAGAAAGTAAGGAATTATGAAAATCAGAAAGACTCCACAATCCATGAGTGAAATCATAGAGTTGTGCAGAAGTATGATTCGGTTCAAGATACCCAATAGTCCGGAGTCTGTGAGGAAAGCATTAGTTCAATCTCTCGGCATCCCAGAAGCTGAGTAAACGTGTGTGCAGTTTCCCTAACGTGCATCATGCGGAATTGTAGGGCATTCACAGTGGTCCACCAGGCTAAGAAGAAAGTTATTTGAACAATTAACTTTTTCTAAGATAAGCGTGTTATTGTTACACTTGATTTAATGTAGTAAACTTCGGTTTTGCCGTGTTTTTAGAGCACTTGACGTAGAACAAAGTTTCAGGAAGGGTCATGTCTTCTTCTTTGAAGGTTTTCCCCAGCAATTTACCAGGAGTTTCTTTTGCCATCAGTCCTCAAAAGGGTTTCTGTCTGGGTTTTTTGCTTCAGAAGGTATGGCAGTGCCCTTTCCTCTGGGTGGTTACAGTTTCACGAGATATAGTTGTCACCTGGTGTTGTCTGTTTCTCTTCCAGAGTGAAAGGATTGAAAAAGGCCAAGGAACTTGAAGACACACAGCAGCATCCCTTAGCAATGTGACATTGCTTTCCAGACTGTTTTCATTTCTGTTTTTAGCAGAGACATGCAACAACGACGACACACACGCACGCACATGCACACACACACACACACACATACACACACACAATCCCTCTGCAGTTTTGGGGCGATCAGCTGCAGGATTTTAACAGGAATGTTTTGGTCATTGCATTTGCACTTTCATGGACAACTTTTAATTTGATCAGCAAGACATCTTGGAACTCAATCTTCTGTTGGATCATGGGAAAACAAGACACCACGAGGAATCGAAAGAGGCTTCCTCTTCTTAGGAAGAAGCCGTTTTCCTTCTCATATAGGGCTGTATTCAAACATCGTGTGGAACTGTACAAATATTTATACCAAAAATATAGATAAGAAAAGGTGGGGATGCACTAGCCGCAAAAGAGAAGGCTGTTCCTGCGCCTGCCAGTGATTTCCAAGAAGCTGAATCTTTGGATTGATTCTCGGTGGAGGGCTTAGATCATACCTTATTGGGTCCGTGTGTTCTCATTTCCTTCACTGTTTTTATTTCATTTTGTTTGTTTGTTTTTGTTTTAATCTCTACAGCACACTTAATGCAACTTTTAAAATCTACAGGTTTTTAATGTCTTGTGGAAATTTGCAGAGGGGCGGGTGTGTGGTCAACGGGTAATGCATGGGAGATCATGAGAAACAGCTGACAGAGGTTAAACTTATTTTCCTGTCCCCACCACCTTCCAAGGACCTGCGAGGATAGTAATCATCTTGTCCCTTTTCTCATGTCCAGCACTTTAATTTTTTTGCCTTACTTTCACGTGCAATGAGAATTACTTAGAGAATGGGTAAAGCATGTAGCTTTTTTTAGTAACCTTGGAAACTGTAGTCATTCTAAGGAGTCATAAACTTTGCCTGGACATTTACCACCTAAAAGATCAGTGTGGTGCTGCGTTCTGGCCAGTAAATTCCATATTTTTGGCTATATCTCATCCAAACTGAGCAGTTTCTGTGTATATATAGAAGGTAGAAATGGAAAGTGAGAAAATATTTGAAAGGGATTATATTAATTGCTAAATATTTTATTCACAAAGGTCAATAACATGGCAAGATAAAATTATTTGTATAGTTTTGTCTGAATGAGCGAGAAAAATGTGGATGTATTGTTTGTATATATTGTATATATTAAAACAAAGAGATATGTGCATGAAATCAAGAAAAAAGAAAAGAACAAAAGCAAAGCATTAGTGGCTATGGTCTGTAAAATGAAACAAAAAAACTTTATTTCACTATAAGAGTACTTTATTTTAAATGTTCTTTAGAAGAACATTTTGCTAAAGCATGACTAAACTGCAAAAAAAAAAGAGCTACTGTATTTAGACTTAGGAAAAAAGGCAGAGTAACATTACTTAAAAAAAAGGATATGTTTACATTTAATTTTGGCTACCAGGAGTTTATTTTATTTTATTTAAAAAAATTTTTTTTGCCAATGGTGCCAAGTAATGTGAATGCTAATATTGCTTAAGAAAATTAAGTTAATTTTGCTAAACGGATAATCATAAGATGAATCAGTATATAGCTTAACACCGTCCACTCACTCCAACAAAGAACACTTAGAATGATCAAAACCTGACAAAAGAAATAGTATGAAAAGTAGAAAAAATGTCTCATGTTTTCATATCTCCTGCTGGAAATCAGAAAATGTAATAAAGAATTGCACAAAAAATAGCTAAAAATTAAAAAGATGCAAACTGGTCTTGTAGGGATGTCACGGTATATTACTATTTCCACATAATGAGGAGCCAAAGAAATCTGATGCTTTTAAAAATTAAACTACTCATGTTAAATTGAGAGAATAAAGTTCGCATTTGCTGATGCCAGTTTAAAATTCCCAGGTTAAAGTTTCAGAATCAGTTGGTGTAAAGCTGAGATAATTGTTTTTTCTTGGTTCTGGCTGCCAACTGTAAGTTAAAATTCAAGGCTTGTTGTGAAGCCTAAAAATATTCACAAGTACGCTTTTAAACTGGTGTCTTTAGAAGGAAGGTAGATACAAAAAGATTGTGGTAAAACTGGGGTCAGTGCTCTTGGTGCCTTTTCTATAATTGTACTTGTTTTTTAATTACTTCCTTTCACTGCCAACCTCGAATTACTGTACAGTATACGTCTTACCGCTTGTGATCAGCTTTGACAACAGTGACAGCCCCACAGTCAGTAGCCCCCTGTACATGTGTAAACTGAGCTGACTCAATTTTGTTTTTAAATGTGTGGGTTAAGTTGCAGCTGTTGCAGTCCCCCAAACACCTATTATTTGACACAGTTTGGCCTATAGGAGGACACTGAGTAATTTACACACACACAATTGCATTCATAAATGGGAATAGAATGTGAAAGCCAGCTCTTTCAGAATATCCTATATTAATACTGAATTTAGATATGTTTATTCCATTTATTATGGTACAAATAACTGATCTTTCGACAAGAGTAATGACCTCAGTGGATTTGCTTTAACAAACCTCACATTCATTTATTTATTTTTTAATGTTTCACATGCTACATTATTAGCTGAGTAAGTTAGAAAATTCTGGAAGATAAAAACTTGCATAGAATTAGGAGGGTTCTTACGGAGGGGATAGGAAGTAGGTTCAGAATCTACCAGTGTAACCTACCGATACAGGTGTGAATCCTAGGTGAGGTGAGAATGCACTTCCACTCAAACAGAGCATTTCTGACCGCTTTTTCTTGGTTGTGAATCTTAATTTTGAATATAAGATGATAGGTAAGCGCAGCTTTCTTGGATAATCTGAATTCCCAAGTGCCAGGAGTAGGATTTCATTATAAAATTAATAGCTAATCTTATTCTGTCTCCTGAAGACTTAATTGCTACTCTTGTTACCCATTTGAAATCAGCTGTACTGTGTGAACGAAATAAAGACAATAACTCGAACCCCTCTCTGGCTGCACGGTCGCTTATGGCAGTTCCACACAGTAGTTGGCGCCCAATGGGGGGTCCCTGAGACTTGCATGTAAAACTAGTCTAGATGTCTTCTTTTTTGTAAGTTTTATTTTTGTAATTGTGCATGTAAAGCATCATTGAATCAATGGATCTGTTGAAGAACTCAGCTGCTGGAAACCATGCAAAATGTTTTGAATTGCCCTTAAAATATGGAAAATGTTTTCTGAATGCTTTATATTCTTTCTGCTGTAAATTAAAAATGAAGAAAATTTCCCCATACTATGTGTGTGTTTTGCTTTAACTTTACCTGATATTGAAATCCAAGGTGATCAGCACATTTAAACCATATGAAATAATTTCAGGTATTTCCTTCCATCCAGATACAGTGGGTCTTTTTTGGTTTTTTTGAGCGAGATTAGCCCTGAGCTAACATCTGCTGTCAATCCTCCTCTTTTTGCTGAGGAAGGCTGGCCCTGAGCTAACATCCATGCCCATCTTCCTCTCTGTGGGATGCCTACCACAGCATGGTGTGCCAAGCGGTGCCATGTCTGCACCCGGGATCTGAACTAGCGAACCCCGGGCCACCGAAGTGGAAGGTGCGAACTTAACCGCTGGGCCACCAGCCCACCCCCAGATACAATGTTTTGACACTGAATGTTAAATAGTTTCGGATATGTCCATGAAAGAAAAAAATCTCTTAGTAGAGCCACTGTTCCTTGAACACTTGCTTTTCAATTATCTTCTCAGGGACTTCTCAACATGTCAATCATTTGTCTAAGTGCAGTTATTTGAAAGATAAAGACACCAATCTAAATTCACTTTTTCAGTTAAAATCTCTGAAGTTTTAAAAGCTGCTCTCCAGCTGACAGCTGCTGTCAGTCTGAGTATTCTCTCATCTTTGTCTCATTCCCTTTTACTGCAGATCCTCATCTTGCCTCCCTGGTAGTTCCTCTTCCATCTAATCTTTCTCAGTGTTGCTGCCCCACAAATTTTGCATAATGGATCTCCCAACTTTCTAGAGCCACTGCATTTAAATAACAATTTCCTCTCTTGTTTATCTTTGCTCTTTATCCAATCTTACTTCCACTATGTCCCAACCTACACCCCCTGGTTGGTCTGTGCAAACCAAGTCTATTTCCACTCATGTCTTTGTCCATCCCTTGCCTGGAAAGTGCTCTTTAGCTGCTTACCCAACTCAAATCCGACCTCTTCTGTGGCACTCGCTCGTTTATTCTCATACACGCTAACATCTCCCTTTTCAAATTACTCCACTTAAAGTTGGAGAAGACAGTTCAGTATTTATTTTATTTTTCATTTCTCATCTAATCTGCCAGTCAACCTATTAGCGTTTGTTAGTATTTTGTTTGTTAAGGTAGGATTTGTCTATGTTGGTAGGACTACTTTCGGTAACAAATATGTTGCAAAGTCAATCACTGCATTCACATTTGTGCCTCCGCCTCCATCCAACGAAAAGCTGAGGACCTGCTCTGTGCTAGGGCCCAGGAATACAAAAATGCAGAAACGACAGTCCCTGATGTAAACCTATAAACAGATTATAATATGGTCTGTGCAATGACAAACATCTGTTGTCACAAATAAGTGCAAGAAGAGAGGGAATCTAACCCAATCCATGCCTGTGATAAATACCCCAAACGGACTTATCTCAATTTAAACAGTTTCTTGGAAACACGTGGTCTCCAGGACCACCAGGTAAATGAGGGACACAGGCTGTCTCCAATATTGTCACGGCCACAAAAATGGCCCAAGGGCCCAGAATACCGTTTAACGCCCCGACCCTTATTTGCCTACACAGTCCCCTTCTGGAGCCTAAGGCATCACGTGCCCTCTGGTCCGCACCGGCGGCGGTGAGGAGGGCCAGCCGGCGCTCACCGACCGGCCCCCAGCGCGGCCGCAGTCCGCTGCAGCTTCGCAACCCCCTCACCCGCGGCCACGCCCGCCGCCTCACGACGCACTCCGGCCTAGTCTCGCCAGGCCACGCCCCTTCCGGCGCGCCCCCGCCCATCCGTCGGCCCCGCCTGGTGACGTCATCGCCCCGGCGCCGCTGCAGCCGCTCCGCTCAGGTCCCCGGCCTCCGGTGCCGCTGCGCCACTCAGTAGACCCTCGCCCGCAGCCGCCGCCGCCAAAATGTGAGTGACACGACGCGAGGCGGCCTCGGGCCCCGGGGACGGCGGCCCACGGCTGGCACCCCTGCTTGGCCGGGTCCCACCGCCCGCCGCTTGGAGGCGGGCCGAGACTGCGGGGGCTCCCGAGGCCTGGGGTGGGCGGCGGCCCCGGGGTTGCGGGCTGCAGATGGGCCGGGCCGACCCCGAGGCACAGCCGACCGCCCCGAAGGGCCCCGCGGCCTTCGGACGACGCGGAAGGGACGAGGGCGGGGCGGCGGGGACTTCCCGGGGGTGGGGAGCGCCCCCCACCCCGCCCCTGTTCCGCCCCACCTCTTTCCCTTCCCCTTCTCCTTCCCCTCAAGATCCCTGAGAGGAGTGGTGGCCGCTGCCTCGGTCTTGGAGCGCCTGCTCGCTGCCTGATGCTGGGCTGGGCTCCGGAAGTTGCTGGGGAAGGACCTTGGCTCTGCCTTGAGGCACCTGTGGTCAGAGTGGACTCAGGAGCATAGCGTAGCTGTGGGCCCTCTCTCTCTTTTGAAGCAGAAGCACTCTTTTAGTGGCTCTTGAAAACGTGGAGTTTCCCATGGTGACATCCAGAGAATGCTGTCAAGAATCACAAGGACCCTCTGTCACCCTTCCAGCCTGCTCACTGCTCACCTACAGAGGAGAAAGGAATGGGTGCTTTCCCTGGGTTCCTTCTAGGAACTCGGGACACCATTCGAGCGTGTTCTCACTGAGGCTGCTGTGCCAGTAGCGCACAGGGGTTAAGATCTAGATCTGTGGAATTACACAGCACCTGGTCTAAACACAGGCTCCACTGTGGCCAGCGTGTTGACTTTCTAAACCTCACTTTACTTGTCTATAAAAAGGGGTTAATTGTAGTATCTTCCTCAAAAACTTACTAGGATTAAATGAGGAAACGCTTGAAGAAAATGCACCAGTACATGGTCCTTTGCTATAATCTATCAGACAGTAAACTGAGGGCAGGGTTGGGATCTGCTGCGTCCCTGGTCTTTGACACATGATAGGTATAAAATAACTGTTGAATAAAATGAATCAGTGGCTGTTGTATGCAAGACCCATGCTAGGCGCCATCTTGGATACAAGGAAGAGACCTCTAAGACACAGGAGTCTGTGATCTGTTAGGGAAGGTAAGACATTATATATATATCTGAAAAATCAAAGCGTTGCCAACTGAGTAATGCAAGCAATAAGGACTTCACAGCCAGAGTGGTCAAGAAAGCTCTGCCTGTAGAGAAATAAAGCATTTGATGAGGATTTTAAAAGAGGAGCTCCTTTTAAGAGCGGCAGCATTGCTTCATCTCGCCTTTCCCACCCCTCCACTCCCCATCCCCTAACCTGGAGTTCCTAACCTTGTTTCTGTAAATGAATCTATTTCTCCATACTGGAAAAAGGGCATTCTATAATTGTTCATAACTGTGAAAACCATTCTGGCCACAGTGAAAAGATCAGAAGAGTACTGAGTGCATTTAAGTAGATGTATGCCTTAAAACAAGTAATGAAACAGTTGGGAAGTAGCGTCTCCCTATCTTAGCATCAGGGGCCTCAGTGGCACAAAGCGGATCTTATTCAGCCTTCACTTCAGCCCTCGTCGCTTTTAACACGTGGGAGAATCTTGGAAATTATAGAGGAATTAGAAGAAATGCCATTAGAACCTTCGTTCATACTGCAGGAAAGATTTTCTCCTTTAGTTCTGAAATGCCTAACACTGAGGGTCGTGGAATAACATCTTCATACTTACAGAAACGTACTTGGAATCGTAATTTCCTCGTGCCTCTGCATGTTTCAGGTCTACAGCTGCGCCTGCAGGTGCAAGCTCTGCCTCTGGCAGTAGTCGAAGACTTCAGCAGACACAGAATCAAGTGGATGAGGTATTTCTCTGAAATGGTGAAAACATGAATTTTTAACCAACATGGGAACACTCTAGAAATTATTCTGTTTTGAAAAAGTATCATAAAAGTGTGAATATAAAGTAAATTTTGACTGTATCATAAATGTGACAAAAACTCGCCCCCTATTCTTCTGAAAGCCCTGGTCTAAGCTTCTGAGATGTCAGATTCTCCTGGTTTCATGCTTGCTTTCCTGTGACTGAATCACATAACTAAAACACAAACGCCCCTCCCAGAGAACATCCCCTCAAGAACCACTCCATAATACGTATTTTGCCTCAACAAAAAAAAAAGGAAAAGGAAAAGGAACCACTTTATAAAATAGGGTAATAGAATTTTAAGGATTAGGTCTATAAATTGCTCAAGCCAGGACCAGTCCTTCTGACCAGACTTTTCATCAGAATGCTGTTCCAGTAGCCTGACTTACTGTTACCCAGCCTGAGCAGGCCTCTGCAGAATTCACTGTCACTTGTTGCCCATTGACATACAGAAGGCAGATGCTGGCAAACTGCTCTAGCCCCACAGATCTATGTTTGTGGAATTCTTGAGTTAGAGAACCTTCACAGCATCTTTTGTTCTGCCCGAGGTATGCAGACCCACAACAGAAGATTGTTTGAGAAATTCAGACTAGGATTTCCATAGTCCTAAAAGCTGTCAGTGTCCAACAAGGATATGTTGGTCTTTCTGCATTTAGCTACCTTAAAAAGCTGAGAGAAACTTAATGTTAGATTCCATTTTTTAAATCATATGGTAATATTTTGGTCTGATGGTTTTGTTACAAAGTTAATTCTGAAAATTTTATATGTTCATGCTAAGAAACTCATTCGAATTCCATCCTGCATGAAACTTTTGTTTACTTATGAAATCAAATTGGGTCCTTTTTCTTAGCCAAAGGAATTCTAAAGAGAGTTTTTTTAAGTTGAGGTGAAATTCACAACATAAAATTAACCATTTTTAAGTGTACAATTCAGTGGTATTTGGTATATTCACAATATTGTGCAACCATTACTTCTGTGTAGTTTCACAATTTTTTCATCACCCCAGAAGAACACCCTATAAGCAGTTAATCACTCCGCATTCCCCCTTTCTTCCATCCCCTGGTAACCTCTAATTAGCTTTCTGTATCCATAGATTTGCCGGTTCTGGATATATAATATAAAAGAGATCATACAATCTGTGGCCTTTTGTGTCTGGCTTCTTTCACTGAGCACGATGTTTTCAGTGTTCATCCAAGTTGTAGCATCTATCAGTGCCTCGTTCCTTTTATGGCTGAGTAGTATTCCACTGCATGTGTACACTTTTGATTTGTTTATTCATTCATCTGTTGATGGATTTTTTTAGTCGTTTCCACCTTTTGGCTATTATGAATAATGCTGCTATAAATATTTGCGTACAAGTTTCTGTGTGGACATATGTTTTCATTTCTCTTGGGTATGTTATCTAGTAGAATTGCTGGGTTATATGGTAACTCTGTGTTTAACTTTTTGAGGAACCTCCATACTTTTCCCTAGTGGCTGCACCATTTTATTTTCCCCACTAGCAGTGTTCAAGTTTCCTGTTTCTATCACCAACACTTGTTATTTTCCGTTTTTTTAATTATAGCCATCCTAGTGGGTATGAAGTAGTATCTCTGATTGTGGTTTTGATTTGCATTTCCTTAATGACCAGTGATGTTAAGTATCTTTTCAGTGCTTGTTGGCCATTTGTATATATCCTTTGTAGAAATGTCCGTTTAAGTCCCTTGCCCGTTTTTTAATTGGGTAGTTTCTCTTTTTGTTGTTGAGTGATAAGAGTTCTTTATATATTCTGGATATTAAATCCTTTACAGATACATGATTTGCAAATATTTTCTTCCATTCTATGAATTTTCTTTTCATATCCTTGATAATGTCTTTTGATGCACAAAAGGTTTTAATTTTTATAAAGTCCAATTTATCTATTTTCCTTGTTGCTCTTGCTTTTGGTGTCAAATCCATTGATCCATTTTTAGTAATTTTTGTATATGGGGTGAGATAGGGATCCAGCTGCATTCTTTTGTATGTGGCTATCCACTTGTCCCGGCACCATTTGTTGAAGAGACTGTTCTTTCCCCCATTGAATAGTCTTGGCACCCTTGTCAAATCAATTTGTGTTGTTTGGGTTGATTTCTGGACTCTCAATTCTATTCCATTGGTCTATATGTTTATCCTTATGCCAGAACCACACTATGATTATTGTAGCTTTGTAGTAAGTTTTGAAATTGGAAAGTGTGAGTCTTCCAATTTTGTTTTTCTTTTTCAGTATTGTTTTGGCTATTTGGGGTCCCTTGCAATTCCTTAAAAATTTGAGGATTGGCTTTTCCACTTCTGTAAATAAATTTTTAAAAAAGGCCATTGGAATTTTGATAGAGATTGTGTTGAATCTGTACATATGTACATCACTTTGGGGGGGTAGCACCATCTTAACAATATTGTCTTCCAGTCTATGTACATTGGATGTCTTCCTATTTAATTAGGGGTTTAATTTCAGCAGTTTTAATAGTTTTTAGTGTGCAAGTCTTTTACCTCCTTGGTTCAATTTATCCCTACATATTTTATTCTTTTGGATGCTATTGTATATGGAATTGTTTTCTTAATTTTCTTTTCTTTGCTAGTATAGGAAACACATTGATTTATGGATGTTGATCTTGGACTCTGAAACTCTACTGAATTTGTTTATTAACTCAAGTAGGTTTTTTGTGTGAATTCTTTGGGATTTTCTATGTATGATATCATCTGCAAATAGTGATCATTTTACTTCTTCCTTTCCAATTTGAATTCCTTTTATTTCTTTTTCTTGCCTAATTGCTCTGGCCAGAACTTCCAGAAGAGTGTTGAGCAGCAGTAGAAAGTGGGCATCCTTGTTTCTGATCTGAGGGGAAAAGCTTTTTGTCTTTCACAAAAACATCCATGTCTTGAGCATGGATGTTAATGCCCTTTATCATGTTAAGGAAGTTCCCTTCTGTTCCTGGTTTGCTGAGTGTTTTCATCATGAAAGGGTGAGCCCCCCTTTTTTTTAAATTAAAGTTTGGCTCAAAGTAATAAAGTGATGAGCTGAAAAAAATGTGCCAGTGAATTTTATTGAGAACTTTTGTTCTTCCTTTCCTTTATGAGTAACTTGGTGTGATCATATTCATTCAGGTGGTGGACATCATGAGAGTCAACGTGGATAAGGTACTGGAAAGAGATCAGAAGCTCTCTGAGTTAGATGACCGTGCAGATGCACTGCAGGCAGGAGCTTCCCAATTTGAAACAAGTGCTGCCAAGTTGAAGAGAAAATATTGGTGGAAGAACTGCAAGGTAATTCTCTTGCCTGGTCTTTACATTAAGTCACCTCTGTACTCTCAGAGGGTCAGCAAAGGCAACCAATACTGGACTTTGATGCATCTTGGAGGTGAGCTTGAGCTCCCACACATGGAAATTTGGATTGACTCCGAATCTAAAACACTGGCTGCACATCCTGTTGCTATCCTACAACTAGGAATTCTCCATGATCTGTGGCTGGCCTTAAGAAACACATAGAACAGGAGCATCCAAAACCAACCACAGACATAAGCCCCTCCAACCCTCCACCCCAGCGAAGCCCTGAATACAGATTGACAGGAAAGGCCTGGAACAGGTCAGTTGTGTGTGGTTCTGTGAATGGCTCCAACGTCAAAAGAAAGAGCTGCTCGAAAGCCACAGTGTGCTCCACAGAAGAGCAGAAAGCAGCTACACAAGGAGCATGGCCCAAAGCAGATTTTATACAGCTACCAAAGAGATGTGATGCGATCAGATCCCAAATATATCCCGCCTCTTCCTGGAGTAGAAGTGACACTTCCTGGATACACGGGATGAGCTCAGTAGCCCGCCCTTCTGTGGAAAACTTGTGTACACAAACATATGCCTATCTAGAGACCACAGATCATTTGAAGATCTTATAAAAAGCAGATAAGTAACCTTCAGGCCCTAGTTGAGAACATTACATTTAGGCTTTAAAAATTATGCATTATTTCAGATTGTAGTGCACCTTAATTTCTCTTTTAGTGACTAGAATGGTAATAGATGATACTCTTCAGTAAGGACATTAATCTATTTTCAGAATGTAAAATGGACATATGTTTCGTTACAGATGTGGGCAATAGGGATTATCGTCGTGGTCATCATCATCATCATCATCATCGGTGAGTTCTTCTGTCTAACTGGGGGACATGTCTCTGTTCACAGTTGATTTCATGTACAAGAACTCAGAATAAAATTTCCCTTAGAAATATTAGTTTATTCCAAAGATTTTTGTTTTCTTTAGTAAATGTTTTAAGTACTTGAGTGTTATATGATTAAAGTCTGAGATTTTTGATATAAACATGGAACCTCTGAAGTTAGAGAAAAATGTATTCATTTCCACTGACCTGTTAGTTTTCTCTCTGAATATATTTTCATCAGATACTTCCTTTTATGTGGAAGAGTACAGTCTGGTGATTAAAAGCATGGATTCACCCTAGCTCCACCACCATCCAGCTCTGGGCCTTGTGCAAGTAATTTAATAGCTCTGAGCCTCAGTTTCCTCATTTGTAAAATGGGGATAATAGTAGTGCCTACCTCATATGTTCGTTATAGGATGAAACTGGTTAATATGCAAAAAGCACTTAAGATGGTACCTGGCATATACTGATAAGTTATATAAATGAATAAATACACAAACAACACACAACTATGGTTACTATTATTCTTACTACCACTACTCTATGCAATATCGGAACAACCCATTGCCATTTTTAGCCCAGTACATGGGGACTATTTAAAGAAACGTCTTCAGCCCTTTCCCTTGACAGTCTCCTTTAGCCCTCTACAAAATGTAGAGAAGCCACTAGGAGGAAATTGGCCAGATTGAATTTCTGTTCACATTTAGACTGCAGCACAGGAGTTCATTCTGGGTTTGCACTGAAAGACTAAACTGCTCTTTTCCCTGCTTCTTTGCATCTCCCCTGCTTTCATCAGTGTGGAGCTTTTCTTAATGAAGAACCAATGGAACGCCAGCCCGCTGTTCAAGAACCCTCTTCAAGACTTTTCACTTAGAACCTGCCACATTATCAAGCTTACCTACTGTTATATCTAAAATGATTATTTTCTGTTAGTTACTGTAAAGTTTGGTTTCTAGGAAATGTGCCTTTGTTTTTTAATATGCACTCCAAACCAGAAGTGTAGTCAGCCCAGCTCGCATTTTGCACAGTGCCTTTACAGATTTACATATGGGCTGATGAAGAGGACTTCTTAAGTTCCAGAGTGTAATAGCCTAGAAGTAATATTGTCTGATTAATTGCCATTAATTCCAGTTAAGGGAATTTGTTCTAAGTTAGCTGTCCTTGTCATATGATGTTATCTTCATGTGACATTATCTTCATATGACGTTATCTTCATATAAACCTTTGGCTAATCAGATTTCCAGTTTGTGCCTTCTAGAAAACACTACTGCCTAACACAATTCTGTGACAATATCCGGTTGTGCCTTATTTTGCTATTTTTCTGATTCCCTATAAGAGAAATCTCTACTGTTTATAAGCACTACTGACTCTTTCGCTGTATTTAAAATAAGATGCTGGTAAAGAGTTTTTGCTCTTACATTAGATATGAAGATGTTCACTTTCTTGTTATTGTTATGTATCACTTGCTAAAAATATGATTTTAATCAGAAATAATAACCTCTTTAAAACATTTTTATAGAACTATGGCTGTGACCAAAGTTTCTATTTTGCCAAAAAGTTAAATCCCAGTAAAATGTCCTTAAGTTTGTTCCTGCCAGATAGATTTAGAAAAGTGACAAATGGAGCTCAAAGCGCCCTTCAGAATTCAAACTGTAACATCGGGTGTGAACCTTCTCCGTCCTGACAGACCTTTCTTGCCTTTGAAATGCTGTCGGTGGTGCGACTCCACTTCCTAGTCAGCATCTTTCCCAGGGGTTTGAGAAGGTTTGGGCCAGACTCTGACCATCTCCCACCTCCAGACAGTGTTACCCAGCAGTTTGCAGATGGATCAGCGGTGGACGCCAGTATGTTTCTAATAATTACGCGAGCAACAATTCTGTAGCCTTCAAGTGAGACCTTCTGTGAACTGGTGTTTATCTGACCCAGTCCCGTAGACTACAGCTTTTGGAGTGTGTTTCCAGTTTTTATCCACATTCTACTTTCTGAACCTGTTTTCTGAGCGACACTTTCCCTCAGGCATTGGTCGGGGTGGACGACTGTTCACAGAGGATGGCTCACCACGCCACTCCTCGCTGTCACAGACGGTCTGCACAAGACGCTGCTTTGGGAATAGCCGTTGTCCTGATTCTGAGAGACTTGCTGGGCACACGAGACTTTGACCAGCAGGGCATGTGGCTTAAGGATGGGAGTTGAGGTAGGGATGCAAACAGGCGAGGAGGCACTGCGGGAGAAACAGGTTTACCACCCCGTGGCCCCTTGTTACTGGAATATTCTAAAATTCCTGTTCACATGCTAGTATGTGACTTACAAAGCAACAGCAGTTGAGGTGCACCAGGACACGGGTTCCATTTCTTTAACAGCTGTTCCCCTGATGCCCCTGAGAGGATGTAATGTTGAAAACGCCTTGCAGCATGCTCAGTTATGAGAAGAAAACAGACGGTAGCCCACCCTCAGCTCAGGGTCTCTGGCCGGGTCTGACTCTGAAACCTTGGTGCTCTCTCCTTGGCCTCAATGCTCAGTCCCATGTAACCCACTGGCTCCTGCATTAACCCAGGAATACCTCGCTTGTATCTGTGTATTTAGCTGGGAACTTGCCCCTATAATGAACTTAATAAAGTGTTTATAAACATAACTCTGGTACCCATGTTGCTTGTGGAGGAAAAGCTGCGCCTGGTCCAAGTCCTGAAATGGCTGCTCCCCCCACCTCTCCCGTAGAAGCCCCCAGACTCCACCTTGTCTTCTTTCTCACTGTCCCCTCCCTAGAGCTCTGGTTTCCAGTACCCAGAATTTCCCCACAGCCTCGTCAACAGGAGCAAACCACTCCCCTCTGAAAAGTGCTCTTCGGTATAGGAGATGAGTGGGGAGTTGGTTTTCTCATGATTACCAAAATGTTAAGGATTGGAAATATGTGGGCTTTCCAAAGTGCCGTGCAGAGCCAGCCCTGTGTGTGGGAGAATAGATGGCTGCTGCCTACATGGGACGTGAGGAAGATAATTTGGATGGGTAGGGGACATCTCCAGACACATAGCTCCTGTTTTGATTCCGCCTATCTTCCCCCTTAAATACACTTCACTCTTAGTCCGCAGCCCCTAGTGAACAATAATATGGGTAGAAGTAGACTTTTGCATACAGTCAAATGCCAGTTTTCCTATGAAATCCTACTGGGAGGGAAGAGTTGCACGTGTTTCCACTGCCTTGGATAGAAGGTCCCTGCTGTTGTCTGACATGCTATTGTGTTTTGGATAAGCACTAACTGTAGAACTGTGCCTTTTGTTTGGCACCTTTATATAATGAAATCTATATGAACTTTCGGTGCCATTTTCAAAATTTTTAAGGAAAATCTACCATAATTGGGCTCCCCTTTCTCTGCCTCCCCCCTCAAATGTCAGGGTTCCTTAGGGCTGGGTCCTGAGCCAGCTTCTCTTTCCATTCTGCATACTCTCCCTGGGCAATCTTAGCTATTCCCGTGAAATCTCCACTCATTAATCTACTGATGATTCCTGGCCTGTTGGACATGGGCCTCTCAAACTCAACATTTACCACACAGAATTAAGCATTCCCCTGCCTCTTGCTTCTCTTCCCATCATTAATGGTGTCCACTCCAGAGAATGGACCCACCCGGGGTCCATGCTAGACAAGTCCACTGGACTTGCTGATAACTTTGCTCACCATATATATCACTCAGGATTTGCTGGGGGTATGCTATGTAGCAAACTTCCCCCAAATCTCAACAGCTTAAAGTTTTGTCCTTGCTCGTGCTACATGTCCAAGGTCAGTCAGCAGGAAGGCTCCAGCATCAGTCCCTCAGGGAGGGACTTGTGTAAGCGTTGATTTCGGGTGATGGCTGCTGCAGGAAGGAACAGCAGGAACTGTGCACTGGCTCTCAGAGCTGCTGCCTGGGAGTGGAGCCAGCAGCTCTGCGCACATTCCATTGGCCAAAGCAAGTCACAGGAGGAGGCCTAGCCTCAGAGGCGGTGGGACGCAATCCTACCTGTCACTTGAAGGAGAAATGGGACGTTTATGAGCCTGTGTCTTCACAACTGCAATTTCAGTCAAAGCGTAGGGGGCAAGTTTCCCTGCTCTTGTATTTTCTAATGAGTTGTGCCTCCTACATGATAATTCTATATTTGCATCACTAATAAATTGTGTTTAAAGCATGGTGATTTTTTTTTGGTTTGAGGATTAATTGTGTGCTTTAAAATTGACCAGACTGCTTAGTGCGTGTAAATGTAAGCATCCTTACAACTGAGCTGCTTTTCATACTAGCAAAAAACTCAATTTGTAAAACTGGAATTTACTAAATAAACCAATTACGGCATAATCATTAGAAAATAATTGGAGGGGCCGGCCCTGTGGTGCAGCAGTTAAGTGCACACGTTCCACTTCTCAGCAGCCCGGGGTTTGCCGGTTCAGATCCCAGGTGCGGACATAGCACCACTTGGCAAAAGCCATGCTGTGGTAGGCGTCCCATGTATAAAGTAGAGGAAGATGGGCACGGATGTTAGCTCAGGGCAAGTCTTCCTCAGCAAAAAGAGGAGGATTGGCAGTAGTTAGCTCAGGGCTAATCTTCCTCAAAAAAAAAAATAATAATTGGATTTTTTCTCATCCTTTAAATAGCAAGCTAAGTGCATTTAAAAGTCTAGTGTCTTTATACTGTCAAGACCATGGACAATCCCGTTAACAGAAGTACCTGCCTGTGGCCAAGGCTCTGGCTCGCCAGTCTGAGGAAGGACTTCGCTCCAGCAATTTCCTCGTCTGCAGCTCTTCCCTCCTGCGTCATTCACTTCTCCCTCCTTAGTGGATAACCCATACTTAACAGTGATCCCCACATCCCTCCCTCCAGCAAATAAATGCTTGCGTATAGCTCTTCACGGCAAAATTCCTCCTGACAGCTCCCTACAGTCACTGCCTCCTGTCCCATCTTTATTTCAGTGCACACCATTGAGACCTCTTTAACCAAGGCCACCATCTTGGTAAAGCTCAGGAAGAAATTCTCTGCCCTTGTCTTACTCTGCTTGTCACCAGCATTTGATACAGTTGCCAGCTCTCTCCTTGAAATGCTTTATTATCTAGTTTCTGTGACCCCGCACTCTTCTGGTTTTCTTTCAACCTTAGGTACTGCTCCTTTGCTTGGCTCTCTGCCCGACCTCTGAATCTCCATGTGTCCAAAATCTTGGCCTTTGGCCCTTTTCTCTCTATCTGCGCTCTCTTGGTGACACCATTTCACCCATCACTGTAAACTCCATATAGCCTGTGACAACTCCCAAATGTAAGCTGGATCTCCATTCCTGGCTTCTCCCCTAAGTTCCATGCTGAGAAATCCAACTGCCTACCTGACAACTCCACTTGGATGTGTAACGCACATCTCAAACATAACATGGAAAACAGCTCTCCATTCTCCCCTCATCAAAACTTACCATCCCCAGACTTGCACACCTGTGTCCCATCACACGCAGCACTGCTTAAACCAAAGACCCAGGAGTCATCCTCAATCGCTCTCTTCTTCTCACTACACCGATTCAACTCACCGGCAAGGCTCTATGCCCCTAAATGTATCCCGAGTCCAGTCTCCTCTCATCATCTTTACTGGCACCACCCTAGCCCAAGCTATCAGCCCTCTTCTTGTAATTAACAGCCTCCTGTTAACTGTTTCCCGTGCAGTGGTCTGACCAATCCAGATCCCTATCTTGCTTAAAACTGTCCTCTTTCCACTACCATCAGAAAAAAATCCAAATCGCTTTCCCTAATTACACGGCCCACTGTGATCTGGCCTTTCCTAACTTCTTGACCTCATCTCACCATTCCTCCCTGCGCTTCCTATTCTCCAGGCCAAGTATACTGCCTGTTTCTCAACAACAAACCTGCTCTGCTCCCAGGCCTCTGCAGGTGCTGTTCTCACCACTGGGGCCTCTTCCCCAGCCCCTCCTCACACTCAGGCTTCAATTTCCCCTTCTCAGAGAGCCCTCCCTGATCACCTGGCTAACGTGCCTCTTGCCTCCTTCACCCTGCATGCCTTTCCCCGTTACACTTCATCCCATTAGCTTGTTTCATGTTCTACACAGCACTTTTCACTTTCTAAACTTTATGGAGTTGTTCGTGTTTTATGTCTTAAAACGCAAACTCCCTGAGTGGCAGGGCCTTTTACCACCACTCTCTCCCCACGGACCCCAATCATCCCTGCCCAGATACATACTCAATAAGTATTTGTTGAGTGAATGCAGTTTGTCAAAACAGAGCTTCAGAGACGAGGGAGATCTGCCATCCTTTGGAAAAATAAGGTGGTTTACCCAATACACGATATGAACAACTGCCCTACTTCATCCCCCCACCCCCTCTTTTATATACAGCTCCTTTCATTCACCCAACAAATGCGGAAGAGTTTTGACGTACCAGGCACTGGAGAGGGTCGGAGTTCTGCACTGTACTTTCCATTTTGGATGACTTGAGACACAATCTAAAAGGTGCCTTCAGACTGGTTTTTTTTTTTAAAGGGCTTCTCTACACCTTCCTTTTCTGAAACAGTGTCTTTTACATACAGTTGTCTTCCTCCAGCTGCCAAATGAATCTAGCTTTAAGAAGACCAGGGAAATGGTTAAGTTTCACTGTCGGAATTCCGTTTCTGATAATCGGGTTTGATTTCTCCAGGGCTTCCATACTGCCCGGGTCCTCCAAGACCCTCACCTACGGAGAGAGAGGAGAGCAACGAAGTCAAGAAAGATGGAAACAACGGGAACCCAAGGAGACGCAGAGCTTGCGCTCGGACGTCCCGCGCCTTCTCCCCACGATCGCCTTCACTCCTGCCGCCGGCCCCCCGCTCCTGCCCCTCACGTGGAGACCGCGCCCTCTCCGCCCGGGTCCCGCCCCCTTGTGACTGGCGTCTCGAGGACCCTATCACCGCCGCGCTGGCTCCAGCGGCCCCCTCCCCCCGAGGCCCTGCCCCGGCGCCGGGCAGGGGCCGGGGCGCTGGACTCTCGCGGGCGCGACTCTAGCCTCTTCGGGGGCCCCTCCGCCCCCTGCCTACGCGCCAGCCAGTCGGGATTGGTCGAGCGCCACCTCCGACCGACCCCGCCGTTATGTAACGTGCGCTGGCGCCTTCGCCCCCGCCCACTCGTCTTCGGTTGTGTAACCCGGGCGCCCCAGCGCGGGCCCCGCCCCCGGACCAATGGGGGGCCGCAGGCCCGGCGGCGGCGGCCAATCGCAGGGCCGGGGGCGGGGCCGCGTCACGTGGCGCGCGGGGGGCGCGGCGCCGGCGGCCGCCCGGCACGCGGTGGGCCTCGAGACTGAGCGCGGCCGGCCCGGCGGGCAGGCGGCTGCGCGGGGCCCGCGGGCGGCGGCGGCGGCGGCTGGTGAGTGCTCGACCCGGGCGCGGAGGCCTCGGAGGTCGCCGGCCGCGCAGTCTAGGTCGCCCCCAGCCTACCCTCCGCCCTGCGGCCGGCGGCCCGGCGGCGCGGGCTGGGAACCTGGGGTCCCTGGAACTTTATGCTTCAAGTTGCCCGCGTCCCCGGGTCCATCTGGTCGCACGCCGACTCTGCAGAGCTGCCAGTGGGCGAGTCGGGGAGGCGGCGTGTGGCCTTGTGAGCTCCGGACTGAGGGTCCTCCCCTGGGCCGGCGGCATCAGGTTGTCTCGTTCTCTTGACACTTGTCACCTTTGTCTCCCCCTCCCCCCAAGCCTGGCGCGCCCGTGAGTGGAGACATCCAAGACTGTATGGAAATTACTGGAGAGAAAAGTGCCTCCAGAGGAGCAGAGCTCACGTTTGGCCGGTTTGTGATGACTGATGATTCTCTCTAACGCGATGGCATGGACCACAAGGAGAAATAAATTCCCGTCGCTGATTGCAAAGTAAAAAAGAAGCAGGTGACAGCCCGAGGGCTGCCGGGCGAAAGATGGACCCTTGTGAAGATCTAGAAGTGCCCAGCAGTAAATTTCATGACTCCAGGGGCCATGAACCTAGTGAACTTGAAGGAGCCCAGGCCAGCGGTCCCGAGGCCCTGGGGAAAGAATGTGAGGAGATGTGGAGCCAGAAATGCCGCCTGCAGAGCAAGTCCGGGGGGAGCAGGCGCAGGTGACGCTTTTGCTTTCTTTTCCACAACCTGGGTGGTTGGTTCTTTTCTGGAATAGCAAAAGAGAAAGGAGGGCTTCAGTCTTTTTATTCTTTTCTTTGTAAGCTTAGGAAAAAGTTTAGGGGGAGACCCTGACAACCTAGAATGAAATACCCTGGAGAAACTGAAGAAAATTACCCAAGAGTACCAAACGTAGGTGAAAAGTAGTTAGGACATTTAGCTGAGTCGGGGCTGAGGTGCATGAAAGAGAGTGGAAAGTGTTTGACGTTTAACAATTTCTTTGCCTGGGATTCCCCACCTGTAAAAAAGGGGCAGTTAACCTGGGAACTAAATGAGTTAATCCATGTTAAACACTTAGAAAGTTGCCCTGGCGCGTAATTTGCAGTTCAATAAAAGCTGATTGTTGTTATAATTGAAAGTGTGAATTTATGTATTTTTTTGTCTTACAGGGAACAGCAAGATCGAAACAGAGTTTCTGAAGAACTTAGAATGGTTGTCCAAGAAATGGTGAAATACCTGCCATCGGAGAGACACAGTAAGCGGAGCACCCTAGATGCCCTCAACTATGCCCTTCGCTGTGTACACAGTGTGCAAGGTAAACGGGCGGAGGGAAAATACAGTCCTGCAAGTACAGCGTTGCTCATAAACGTCAGCCAGGCCACGGCAGGTGTCAGTGTGATTTTAGTCACAGAAGTGTTTTGAGGTTTTTTGGTGCTTTAAGTAAGATGAGCAGATCTGTACTGATTCCATTAGCGTCTTGGCTTTTCAAATTAGGAACACCAGGAGAACCTTATTTGTGTGATGGTTTAGTAACTGTGCTCTATTTGGCTGATCTGTTGTAAGAGAGTGGAGTTTAGCATAAGCACATTTTGAAGACTCAGTTTTTAAAGGGGCACTGTCTTCTATGGATATTAGAGAAAAAAACATACATTTGACTAAATACAGTTTACCTTTCCCTCTTCATACACATTCTTTTAAAGTGCAGTCGTGACATATCAGGAATTTAGCAAATAAAAAACGAACAGCTGTAAACACTTTTTCCTTTTTAGCTGACTTTTCTTCTCAAGGGGTTTCATAAAGTACACATCCTCTAGCACAATCCTCTGTGGCTTCATATGTGATACTTTTTTCCTGAATACTGGAGGAGTGTTTCTGCCATGAAAATTTCCTGTGTGTATTTGGAATTCTAGGTTTCGGTACCGTAAATGTGTCTTGTTCCTTGTGATGTAGAAATACAGAATGCCTGAAATTCAAAATCTTAAGTTTGCACAACTGTCAGTATTTTAGGTGAAAGAACAAAATGATCCGGTTTTGAGGAAAACACACTGAGGTGTCCTCATCTTAAAAAATAAGCCCACTTTAAAAGTGATAAAAATGCTTTCCTGAAGAGATTGTTGTCACTGGACTACCCGTTTGTTTTCCTGTGTTTCTTAGCAAACAGTGAGTTTTTCCAGATTCTCAGTCAGAACGGAGCACCTCAAGCAGATGTGACCGGGTACAGTCTTGAAGAGCTGGCCACTATTGCTTCAGGACACACTTCCAAAAACACAGTAAGAATCTGTGAATTTTGCCGTATCAACCTGGGTGATTTTTCCTAATGACCGTATCTAGATGTAGATTTTTAAATATAGTAACACAGTTTTAGTAACCACAGTTTGACGTAAACAGTAGGAGAAAACTACCAAAGAGGTGTGGTGTAGTTCCTCCTGCGCTCGCCAGAGACAACCTCTAGGAGGGGAAGCAGCGTTTAAATAGTAGTTGGCTTTGCTCCGCTTATGAGGGCCCTCTTCTCCTTAGCATCCCTGAGTTCTCTCAAATTAAGAGAGAAAAATAACACTGCAGAGTAATTTCCTGCATCTTACTCTAATCTCCAAAATGTTCATTTCTATTTATATCATTCTTAGTTCCAATAGCTACTACTTCAAGTTGTAACAACTGGATTTTATAGAACGGGTGAGTTGAGATGCTGTCATTTTTTGTAAAATTATGGAAGAGACACTTAGTTTACCTTTTTTGAATCTCTTCATGTTGAAAAACTAATTAAGCATCATGTTTTGTTGACAGGATGGAAATTACTTAATTTTACGTTTAGATCTTAACGTCATTGTAACTTCAGATTTTATAACATTGGAACATGAGCCATCCCTAGTGTCACAGTAGGGCTTATGGTACTAAGTGGTATGTTTGTAGTCCTGTAGTAGGTGCTATGGAGATTGAAGAAAAGACCTTTGGAAAACATTTCCCCTTTAAGATCCTCAAAATAAAGCTAGAGAGGAAAACATACACCAGTGTCAGATCCAAACAGTGGCTGATTATAAATAAGTTATGTCTCTGTCTAATGGAAAAAATTAGAGAAATGATTCTTGTGTAATGAGGTTTGTCAAAGACAGCGTCTTGAAGGAGGTGAATCTTGACCTTGGTCTTGAGCTGTAGTATATGCATAGAGAAGGAAAGACAGTGCCTCCACGTGTAAGGCACAGTTTGCAGAGGAGAAGGGATCAGAAGAGTATATACCGTGCGTATGTCAGTGTATGATGAGCTGGAGTATCTGTTTGGCATGGAAATCATACCTTCAGAAGGTAAAATGCAGGTTTTACGGTGACGGTTAAGAAGTGTGTTGGGGAGTTTTGTTGCCTTTGCAGGACGTGTGCATGTGTTTCAAGCTATTGATCGCGGTAGGAGTCTAGAAGAAATTTAACTTTCAGGAAATATTGCTAGTAAGTATCTCAATGTTTGCATTTATTTTAAATGTTTTTCATAGGATACCTTTGTGGCAGTTTTTTCATTTCTGTCCGGAAGGGTAGTGCACATTTCTGAACAGGCTGCTTCGATCCTGAATTGTAAGAAAGCTTTCTTGGAGTCCTCTCATTTTGTTGAACTGCTCGCCCCTCGAGATGTGAGGGTCTTCTACACACACACCGCCCACGCTCAGCTTCCCTTCTGGAACAACTGGACCCAAAGAGGTAACGGGACCAATATTCACATGTTTATCTTGCCTGGTAAAGATCAGTTTCATTCTTCCAGAAATAGTACAGAAATTAATGCATTATTTAGAACATGCAAACTGTATATTTTTTCTTATTTCTTTCTTTAAAAAAGGTGTATCGTGTGATGCAAATAGCATTTTAAATGCTTCTAATAACATAAAGATCCAATAAATTTGCTTTCATTTAGTCAAGTTAGTTTCACAGATTATATATCATAAATATGGTTTGATTACCAGCATACTGTGTAAAGGTTAATTGCTAAAAGGCTCTGTTTCCTTTAAGTTAATAAAATTAAATGTTTTGCCTCTTATATTGACTTCATTCTTTCTTTGCTTTGCTTTGGAGATAAACTTATGATGGTTAGCTCCCTTTCCAGCTTTTCTTGTCCCTAAAAGTTCATGAATCTCATTACCTTGTTTTTCTTCTGAAACGCTTGTCTTCCTGAACTGGGGGTGCCTGTTCACGGTTTTCTTTGTGACATTCAGTCTTGTGTGATCTTTAAATAATTCATTATTGCTTCTCTAAATCACCCTTTAATGCTTATTTCACGTTCTTTATAAAGTGTCTCCTAGAGAGCTTAGTATAGATCATCCTCCTTTTTGATTCTAAGCCCTTTTCTCTGATTTTTTAAATTTTAATTTTTTATTGTGGTAAAAATCACGTTAACAAAGTTTACCATCTTAGCCTTTTTTGTTTTTTTTTTTGGTGAGGAAGATTTGCTCTGAGCTAACTTTTGTGCCAATCCTCTATATTTTGTATGTGGGATGCCTCCCCAGCATGGCTGATGAGTGGAGTAGGTCCATGCCCAGGATCTGAACCCACGAACCTGGGCCACTGAAGCAGAGCACGCAGAACCTTAATCACTGGGCCACAGGGTCGGCCCCAGTCGTAGCCATTTTTAAGGGTACAGTTGAGTGGTGTTAAGTACATTCACATCGTCGTGAAGCAGATTTCCAGACCTTTTTCATCTCTCAGATCTAAAGGTCTGTACTCATTCCAGTTTTTCAGTCCAGCGCTTGGTCCAGGGAAGAACAGTCGTACATGCTTCCTTTCTTCAGTGTTGGACCTTTGCTCCATTTTCTGTGCACATTTCACATAAGCTTTAGAAAACTTGCCTACCATCCTTGCTTGCTTCTAGCTCCTTCTCCTCTGTTCCCATCGTTCAGAAACATTGATTTCATTTCTCTTCCTCTTTCGTAAACGTATTTTCAACCTTTAATTGTCCATATTTGTTTCTCTGCTTTTATTAATCATTTATTCATTTCATAAACATTTATTCAGCAATCACCATGGGCCAAGAACTATTCTAGAGGCTGAGATACAGCTAGGACCAGAGCTGACATGGTAGTGTTTGCCAGCTCTGTCACATTTCCCCAGGTATTTTTCCTTCAGCATTGCCTGTATAGTCTCTGTCTTATCTTTTCAACCCTTTTATCTTTGCTAATTACTTATTGCTATGATTTTTCCATTCCATGTAAAAAAACATAATACGCCCTGAAACTGCTGTCTTTCGGACCTAAAAGTTTGCTTATTCCATGAAGATATGACGTCCATCTAATTTACTCCTCACATTGTGCTTTTCCCTTATGAATCTCCAGCATTGAGGCTCTTCCTGAGTGCCGTGGTTTAGCTCACACCGTTTCTGGGCTGTGCGCATGTTACCTCCCTCCGTCCCTTCCTTCGATCTCATAGAAGGTTAAGAGGATGTAGGAAGCTATCAACTCAGCAGTTGTCAGTTTTTGGCCCTATGCTAGAGCCTGTTTCAACTTACACTTGTTGTGTAGACCTCTCAGAAAGATCTGACCACTATTTCTTTAGAACACGCTTTCCAAAAGCAAGAATTCGCACATGACAGCCTAGATGTGGGAATGATAATGGGCTCACATGTACTATTTGAGATCACACAGTCTGGCTCCATAGGTTACGAGGCTCATAGTGAATGCAGTTGAATTCAGGTGCCTGGTGTAATGCACAAATCACGTAAGCGGGTTTACCTCACAGTAGAGTTGCAGGGTTTTCTATGTGCAAAGCATTTCAAGCTGGAATCTGAAGGTCTGAGTTTTAAATTGAGTTCTGTCCCTTCATGAACCGTGGAGGCCGCTTAGCTTCTTCTTGTGAAATAAGAGTAATAGTTCTGACCAGCCTGCTATCAAGCAAGCTGATGGCTGGGAAAGCACTTCAGATATTGGGAGTATTCCACAGCGGGAAGGACCATCTTAATTGCTGTCATCTGTTACTGTTCGCCAGGGACTCCTTAATGTTTTAGTGGATTAACTGATTTAATTTTCACAAAAACCTTGTAAGGTGTAGATACTGTCGTTATTTCCAGTTGACAGATAAGGTAACTGGTGGTTCGGGTCTGCTGAGAAGCAGATGCCAAGATGGGCTTAGCTGCCAGGAGACTTTCTGGGGGAGGGCGTGGAAGAGGGTGAGCGGAGCCCTCAGCCCACAGTGGGCGGGCGTCTCACACCTGTGGGAGGAGCGAGGAGGAGAGAGGACTAGTGAGGAGGAGTCTTGGCCTGTGGTACAGCTTTGCCAGGCAGCCAAAGGGAAGTCTGAGCCACAGTCGGGCATCGAGGAGTCCTGCGTCTCCACAGAACCTGCTGCCTCGGCCCGCTCTGTGCACAGCCACGGGCTGGGAGCCTGCCGTCAGTTATGCCCCTTCTCAGCCCCACGGCCACTGAGAGCTGAGTGGCTCCGCAGGTCACACGGCCGAGAAGTGGCGAGCCGGCTTTCCTTGGCGGTGTGAACGCAGAGCGCCTGCTCCTCCCGATGCACGACTGCCCGTGACTTCACTCAAGAGCAGAACTGTCCTCAGACGAAGGCGCGTGTGAAAGGGGCCCGAGGTGCGTTCCTGTCCACGAAGGTCGTCCCCACGGCTCAGGCTGTGTCTGAAACAGCCTTGCCTTGGCCTCGTTCCCCTGTGAGTGTAGCCTTTCCTGAAGCGGTTTCTGTGGGAACACTGTAGCCGCCTTACAGTGGTTAATTCCTGAAGCTTTGTCGAGTTGTTCTTTCCTTTATTTCTCTCAGAGATGTAAGAATCGTCTTCTTTCCAAATTCTGGGACTGTGGCTTTCATAGTTTTATGAATTATAATGGTTTGACCATTGGTCTCTTGACTTTTAAATTGGAGTATTTTTTTTAAATCATGTACGCTTTCCTGGATCATTCCAAGCCCGTTGTCTGATTCTCCCTATGGTCCTTCCTTAGAAGTCCAAAGACCTGGCCCATACTCAGTATTTTGGTTCTTCAGAATTCTCGTCGCTTGTGCTCCTTCAATGTATACTTTTTCAACATCTCCTTGGTTTTAAACGTTTCCTTGGTTTCTGTCACCGAGGAGTTCTCTCTCCAGTGAACAAAGGCCCAGAGGACATGCAGGGAGCTCTGCTCAGAGGAGCTGCTGATGGTCGGCAGACGCCGGGGCCGGGGTCAGCCCCTCGTTTGCCCTAAGATGTAAACACTTCTGAATGACCACCTCTCGAGTCAATAAAATTCATGAAAAAATCAATGAAATCGAGGCAAACTGTGCGAGAGTTGTGAGAAAGCGTTGTTGATGACCCTTCAGCTGGGACGGCCTCCCGGAGGCTCGTGTGCCGGTAAATGAAGTCATTTAACCTGGGAACACAGCTGTGGGGAATTTAACCAGCAAAAGAGAAAAAAATGAAAGACCTTTACATATCGTATACCTAAAAGCTGTTAAGTAGTCCAAATTCCCCGTTTTTGAGACGTGTCCAGACTGTTACAGTGGAGTGGAATATTACCACCAAATAGCTGCTGAGGGATGATTATTTAATTATAAATAATACTTTATAGGATTCTTGTCAGAGGGTCATTACACTGATGTGACGTAGCAAGTACACGCGATTACAGAAATACAGCAGGGGCGGCAGGAAGCATAAGGGAAGGACCGGGTCAGACGCGCCGGCCGTGTCTTAGCTGAGGTCACTGTGGGGGTGAGAGCCCGAGAGGACGCTCATGTGCCCGGGTCTCCCAGTGAGCGGGGAGTCTTACTTTCATCGCGAGAATCTGTCTCTTTTAAGAAGTACTTTATTTTGTGCTTGGTGCTGGTGAGACACGTTTCACTGGGAGGAGCTGCTCCGCGTGTTGCTCTAAGGGGCGATTGACAGTCTGTCTCTGTTTCCAGCAGCCGCGCAGTACGACTATGCTCCTGCGAAGTCCTTTTTCTGCCGCATCCGGTGAGTCCGGGGCTCGTGGAGGCCAGAAGGGTGGGTTATGCCCTGATCTCGTTTAGCACGTACTTGGTTCTTTTGTATTCAGCTAGGTCTGTTGTGGCTACAGAGACAAGACTTGGTTCTTGCCACCAGAAGTGTGTGTGTTGTGTTGATTAAGGAGAAGAAACATATACTCCTGAGAAAAGTAGATAAATAATAAAGCAATAGGGAAAAAGATGAGGAAGATCATTCTTACCCAGAGGCATGGAGGAATCACTGATGTTAGGACACTTTCAAATGACCATTCTGTGGGCTCTTTTGTTTTTATCTTTCAGTCACAATTAAAATTAATTTTTCAAATTTTGAATAACTTTAAAGAAAGCCAGATAGGTATATTTATGAGAAGGATTTAAAACGTCCAAAGACCGTGAACTAGAAGAAAATAGACCAAAATTTTAATAATAGTTGATTCCTGGTAGTATTTATTAGTGACTTTTTTCCTTTTTTTAAATTCACTATGATATGTTAATGTTACTTTCACAATAAAAGGAAAAATATTTTTTAATGGTGTTGTGATTGCCAGCATTAGCATTGAAGTTACTACGTGCTGTAGGTATTTAGAGAAGAGGAAAGTCCTTGTCGTGGATTAGCCAGATGCTCCATGGAACTGGGGCCTGGAGCTGAGGGTGCTGGAATGCCTGGACGGGAGACCTGAGGAGAGGTGGGCGGGGGGCCTGCTGGGTCACTGTCACTCCGGGCAGTTTGCTGCATAGTAAGTGCTCTCTGTATTTTCCATGTTAATGAATATTTCCAGGTGCCTTTTCTGAGCCAGACACCCTTAAGGTGCTAGGATCAAAACAGAGTTCTTGCCCTGGTGGACCTCACATTCTGGAGGGAGGAGTAACAATAGTGAACAGGTATCTAAATGTGTCTGTGTCGGCTCGCAGGACGTTCTGTGTAGAACAGTAAAGCCAAGTAAGGGATTCTGGGCACTGGAGAGATTCCTGTTGTATTCAGGGTGGTCAAGGAACTCTTCTCTAAGAAGGAGCCTGACTGGGGCCAGAGCCCTGAAGGAGGTGAGGGAACAAGCCATACAAGTATCTGAAGAAAGGGTGTTCCAGGCAGGTGCAAAGGCCCTGAGGCAGAGCATGCCTGGCCTGGGGGAGGAGTAACAAGGAAGCTAGTGTGGCTAGAGTGGAGGGAAAGGGAAGGGTGGAAGAAGGAAGCAGGGGCCAAACTATAGGGAGCTTTGACTTTTAATCACTTATTTATTTTTAAAACTTTACTTTGAGAATTTTCAAAATAATACAAAAGTAGAGAAAATAGTACAGTGAACTGATATGTACTTATCATTCAGCTTTTTTAATAGCCTTAACTCATGGCCAGTCTTGTGTCATCTGTGCCACCTACTCCTCAACTGCCCCTCCCCGTTATTTTGAAGCAAATCTCGGATTTTGTGTCATTTCCACATCATCAGTATTTCCGAATGTAATTCTAAAAGAACAGGTTCTCGTTAAGCTTCATGATGCCCAAATTCTCCCATTCTGGGCCATCAGCAACCCCTGAGGCCAGCTCCTGTCCCCTGTGAGAGTGCCCTGTGGTCCAGGACAGCTTCCTTTGTTTCAGACTTGACGGCCCAGGCTCAGCCCAGACATTTCCTAATGCAGACCCGGAGTCAGTGATTTCTTCACGGATTCCTCATTCCTGGTGGTGGGAAACTGCGTTACCGTATGGGGACCAAATCCGGATGGTCAGGGTGGTGGTTGCTGCAAGGTTATCATTGCCTCTAGGAGTTTTCAGTGGATAGAGATAGGATGTTTCATTTTTTAGAAGGGAAACTTAATTTGCCTTATAAAATGATCAGTTTAGGTGCTGTACTGAAGACCTGGGGAAGGACAAGAGGAAGAGGGTCGTGGTTAGCAGGCCATCATGTGATGCAGCTGAGAGATGGCAGGTCCTGGACCAGGGCAGCAGTGGTGGACATAGGAACGTTTTGGATATTCTGGATATTTTTGTAAGGGAGAGTTACCAGAACTTATTAATGGATTAATTTGGGGTGAGATAAAAAGAGTAGTCAGGGTGACATGAGGGTCCTTGGCTCAAGTTGCCATTTATTGGGGTAGAGGAAATTATAGGAAAGGAGGCAGCTTGGGGAGGGGGGAAGAATATGCTTAATTTAGACGAGTTCAGTTTGCACTGTCTGTCTGTTAGGAATCAAAGTGGTGATGCTCTTCAGGCATTGGTCCATGCATCTGGAGCTCGGGGAGTCGTCCAGGCTAGAGACAGATGCTTGGGTCATCAGCGGAACCTGAGGACTGGAGGAGCCTGGGAAAATCAGTGGCAGACGTGGGAGGGGAGCCGGAAGTGCAAGTACAGATGCTTGGAGGTCAGCATTAGAAGGCTCGTGGGAATGGTTCTCTCTTCTCGGTGAAATAGGAAGCGACGTTGCGGTTGAGAGTGGAGAAGTGGGAGGAGATCCCGGAGTCTGAGGAGAGAAAAAGAACCGAGACGGAGTGGGAGCGGGAGTGGCCTGAAGAACCTCTCGGCAGCTGGGCCCCACGTGGGATGGATAGTCAGGATTTAAAGGATGGCAGGAGAGGAGAGGCGTGATTGGTTGGAATGTGGAAGCATGAATTCAGTCGTAGACATTTGACTTTAAAGGGATGGTGACGTATCCAAGTAGAAATGTCCTCTGGGCAGCTGGAGCAATGGAGCAGGATGAAAGTTGTGGTGGTCGTCTGTCAGAGCCGTCCCCGCCTAGGGAGCCTCTGTGAGAATGAGACCTGGTGCCCCTGCTCCATGTGCAGGATGGTGAGCAGGTTCTAGCCCTGCTTTCCTGCCTCCAGCCAGGTGTCCGAGGGAGGGCTCGCCACACCTGAGGCCCTGCACCCGGCAAGGCTGTGGCTGAGGTGGTGAGGCTCCATCAGGCCTCTGAGGGGGGGTACCGGAAGGGACAATGGAAGACTGGCTCTGGGGCCCAGTTACGGGGCCCTGTCTTGTGCCACACGATACATGGTGTAGACAGACACATGAGACAGGACAGGTAGCTGTGCCCTGCCTCTTCACAGCAGAGGCCGAGAAGTCAGACTGCGTATCAGGGCCTGGAGGGCAGGAGGAAAGTCGTGGAATGACTACTGCCGTGTTTACTCGCAGTCATCTAAGCTACTTCTCTGTAAAAGCTCTCATTCAGAGAATGGCCAATGAGTATAATTGCCCTCAGTGCTGAAAAGTTAAACTAACTTCTTTTTAAAATAAATGTGCTTAAACATTTTAGATTTGGATATATTTCTCTTGGAAAGTACCAATAAGACCTTTTTCCTGGCCTGTTTCTCATTGGGTTGCTGTGACCACGCTGATCGTTTTTGTTCTCTTCAGTGGAGGTGAAGACAGCAAGCAGGAGAAGCGTTACTCCCCATTCCAGATCCTCCCCTATTTGATTCATGTGCACAGCCCTGCCCAGCTGGAATCTGAGCCCTGCTGTCTCATGCTGGTCGAGAAGGTTCACTCTGGCTACGAAGGTGAGTCAGGAGTATGCTTTTAGGTCGGTAGCCTGTCGGCCCAGCAGATGAGAACACGCAGAAGTCTGTCGACTGTGGTTGGAGCCCCGGAAAAGAGGGCTCGAGTCGTCAGTTTGGCCCTGAGCTCTTTGTTCTGTTCTGATGTTTCCTGAGGTCTCAGTTTGCTGCCCTGACTTCTCATGCAGTGTTTCCTTCAAGGACAGCGCGGCCTATGGGTCTGAGCATAGACTGGGCCACAGATATGCGGTCCTTGGATCACTTCTCTGCTGGTGCCTGTCCTGTGGCCTTTGTTTCTGTCTTGTGTGAAATAAGAGCATTGAAATTACTGCACAGAAAAGTCACAAGAATGAATTTACGTTTTTAAAGTGTTCTGAAACCCCCTGAGTAAAAAGTATAGTTTATATCTTCTGTTGGCAGGACTGCATTTCTAAATTCATATATCAATACACAAACAGCTTTCATTTATTATTTGAAATTATTGTCAGTTCTGCCGTGACATAACATACACTTTCCTAAAAATTATCATCCTATGCAAAAAAAAAAAATCACACGATAAAAACATAGGGCTTATGAGAAAAATGAGTTTAGGGCCACGCCACTCAAAAACTTAACCACACATTAAAAGTAAGACAGGAATCTAATAAAAACAATAACACAGTTTTGTATGTGTTAGATGACTCAGAAATAGGTAAACACTACAGTTACAGCCCCTACCGTGGAAAAGCCCTGCAGTTTGCTTTAGATGTGGGTGTTGCAAGGGCTGCAGCAGGTAAATTATTAGGAGGGTGGAAGGAAGGTTGTCTGAAATGAGACAGGGTTCTAACACCACATTGGACCAGCGTGTCCGTGACACACACGGTGCACTGAGGTCGCTGTGGATGTCTGAGCTGTGTGCGTGTTTTTGTGTATTCCTAAGTGACTCCATTCAACCAGATGTTGTTTTCTGCATTCACCTCATTTTTCTTGCAGATGAAACCATGCATAAGCAAACGCAAAATGAGCGTTATGCTCAAATTGTTCCCTGATGTATCAAGTCCTGCGTTTTCAAAGCAAGCTGTAGGAGAACTGACAACACTGATTTTGTTACACAGACTTAAAATGTCGACATTGTACTGATGTTTCAAATCCCATGTGCTGAGTTGTATACCACTGCTAAATGCGACTGCACTTTTCAGGCCTCAACGTGAAGTCACTCCAGCTTTGCCTGTTAGGTTATTGATGATGAGTGAGCTCTTCAGTGTACATAGGCTTTCTCTCGCTGTTTAAAGTGTACTTTTCGTAGGCTTCACTTTTTTGACCTAATTAAAATATGGTTAATAATGACAATTGGTATTTAACCGTAGCTTTGGCGACTCAAAGGCCGAGCCCCTCAGTGAGATTTCCACCGTTTCATGTAGAGATTTTGTTAAGTGGATGACTAATTAGATATTTGCCTTTCAATGAGTCTTTCTGTTCTTCATAGCTCCCCGAATCCCAGTGGATAAAAGGATTTTTACCACAACACACAGCCCAGGGTGTGTTTTTCTTGAAATAGACGAAAGGTATGTACTTTTTTTAAGCTTAAAAGAAATTTGTTCCTGAAAATAAATAAAAATATGAAAAGGTCTGCATTGTGTTTATGTACTTCTACATTACGTAGCTGACCTTGTTCATTTGCCCTTTTGATTTTTGTCAGTTTGAAATTTGTGTTGTCTAAATTTTTAAGGTAACTGTCTTGCATGCTGTACGTCTAAGATTTGTAAGTTACCGTATTTGATCACACGATAGTCTGCTTTAAGGAAGTCAGGAATTATTGTTCCATTTTACACACGAGGACGGTGAACCTGGGGGCCAGTTTGCCAAGAATGTAAGTCATTCATGATTGTCCTCAAGATGAGAGCGAGACTGGCCGCCCAGCACCTAATCCAGTGTCGTTTCCACTCAACAAGTGCTTCCCAAACCAGTTTATGGTGAAATTGTTAGTCTGAAGTGAGGGAGGAAAACCAGAAATCAGGACAGGTTATTTTGGGTAAAGCTAAACTTACTTAATTTAGAGGATTGTTATTTATTTTGAGCTTATGTCCTTCCTATGCTTTTTGGTGTTAAGATTATCTTTCTTATTTAAAGAATAGTGATAATGGATAGTAGTTGTTGCTTGTTGTTGTTTTTTAATATCTTTACTTGGAAAAATAAGACATTGTTAGCTGCTTATCAGTACCCTCCATTTTTCCCCATATTTATTTTTAAATTTTACTTACTCATAAAATCTGGGAACCAGTGCACCATACCACACAACAGTATAAAGCAAAAATGTCACAAACCGGGCACCATTATGAGAGGTATTAATTTTGATTTAAAAAAAAAACCTTAACATCTGAAAATGCATTTATTTAATAATAGTTACCCTGAAACTAAACAGTAATGGTGAGATACTTTGTATAATGTAATCTGTAGAAAATAAGAAAATTTAGTTGAAAGTATTCTGAATATAGCTTGAACTGATTTCATTAGGAAATATTGGTGAATTTGTGCGCATAGAAAATGTCTGTGGAGTCACTTCTTTCTGAGTCAGCCTGGGTGTCCTGTCATTGCCATTTCCCTGTGGACCTTGATCCTGCACATGTCCTTGTGTGCTGGCTGTTTGTCTTTTCGATATTATCTCTTGGGGTCATTGTTTTTGTATAGTTTTAATCATACTGTGTAAGTTTATAGCCTGCATTATTCATTTAACCTCATAAGCGTTGTTCTGTGTTATGATGTCATCTTTGTGGGCTTTTTATTAATGGCAGCAAAATGGAGAGACCTCTGAGGAACTGGTTAAAAATATAGATTCCGAGCCTTACCCCAGAAATTCTGATTTTGCTGGCTTACAATGGGCCTGCAGATCTGTTTTGTAGCAAGTTCCGGAGAGGACTGTGGCGCAACCTGTCGGACGACCATCTTTTCTTAGATTATGTAACTACTTCCCCACAGTATGGGTGCTTAGGTCATTGGTTGCTTTTGTAAATGCTGTAATGAACATTTTTTGCATGCTTTCTTTCTCATATTTAGAATTAAGTAAAAAAGTACTTTTAAAAAGTATGAAAATTACTTGATGTGTAAAACGTGCTGCCCGTGCTGTGTGTCTGTATCCCAGAGCCGTGCCTTTGCTGGGTTATCTACCTCAGGATTTGATTGGAACATCTGTCTTAACGTATTTGCACCCAGAAGACCGCTCTCTCATGGTCGCCATACACCAGAAAGGTATGGACCTACTTCGCTATAGGAGGAAATTTTTTTAATCATTTTTTAATCATCTGTTCTAATTTTTTATTTTATTTCTTATTAGAGCTTCTCATAAGCTCTAATCATTAGAGCTTAACCTTTAACCAGGTAAGCAATGTATTGAAACTGCTCAAACAATTTTTTTTCTATTTTGGCATTCTAAAACACAAATAAATGCCTAAAAAAAGACATTTGTAATAAATATGTGTGTTAAATAAATTCTAATTTTGTTTTATTGTTTTATATAGTCTTGAAGTATGCAGGCCATCCTCCCTTTGAACATTCACCCATTAGATTTTGTACTCAAAATGGAGATTACATCATATTGGATTCCAGCTGGTCCAGCTTTGTGAACCCATGGAGCCGGAAGGTCTCTTTCATCATTGGTCGGCATAAAGTTCGAACGTAAGTCAATCAGTTTTCATATTTTCTCAAAGATCTTTTTTACCAAACAACATTCCTTCGCCCGTTGACTCTCTTTTGAATCAGCTGACACATGAACTAAGCAGAGCACAGAGTTTCTTCGGTGCTTTTGGAAGACAGTTTGGCAGCAGGTACCGAAAGCCTTGAAGGATTTCTACCTCTTTGACCTGATGATTCCCTTGTGGGGACATTCTAGGAAACACGCCTAAATACAGAAAAGCTTGATAAAGCAAAGACAGATTCTGCAACGTTCTGTGATCATAGTGGCAGACTTAGAGTAGCTTAAATGTCCATCGTTAAGTAACTCTGGACTGTTTGCTTGACATGTTATTATATTGCTCAATAAAAATTTTGCAGAGATTGTGTAACATGGAAAATTGATATATTAGATGTAAAAAGCAGCATGTAAAATTATTTATACCATATGATTATAACTGTATTTAAAACACATGCACACACAAACACTATGAAATAGGAAAATGAAGATTAGAAGAAAATAGAATACAAATTTCGGTTGTGTGTGGGATGGTGGGATTATGGATGAGGCTTTTTTTTTCCTTTTTTTGCCTTTTCTGTATCTTTAGTGAGCATGTAAGACATTTTATATCAGCCTTCTTCTGTCAGATTCCACTTACTTGTGTCTATTTAACCAAATCTTTATTTGTAAAATTAGATTGTTTAATAGCTCTTTTCACGCCAGCATGGCTGACTCAGGCCTTTTTGATTGCTGTTGCCTGTCCATGTAGCAGAACCCTGTGAAACGAGCACCTGGCCACCACTCTTGTAGCTGAAAATGCTCCTAGTCCCTTGACTCTTCGTCCACTGAAAATTGACCAGCAGGTTTCTCAACCAGGCCATAGGTTTCCCTTTGACGTCTTTTTTTTTTTTTAACCATGGAAATTATACTTAACTCTTCAGTATCATGCTGAGATGGAGAGAGTATGTCTTTTGTATGTTGTCTCCAGCTTTATGCACATAAGCATAGAACTGAGGATGGTAGAGCTACCTGTCAGGCTCATTTTATCACATCTTGATATCACGAGGAGTGGTGCATCGCTGTGGTGAGACGCGTTCTCAAGGCTGCCCTTGCCTCTCTGTGCCCCAGGACACTTGGCCTCTCAGCAGAGCAGGTCTGGAAACTTAAGTGGAAGAAATGGGCTCCCTTCTGCCCTAGCTCATGAGACTGATTCGTGCTAGAAAACAAATTTGATAGTTAAGATAAGAAATATGACTGCCAAGTAAGAGCTATTCACGTTGGTCAGAAGGGACTTTTTTTCCCCCACTAGGGAAAACCTACTGGGAAATTAAAATAAAATCATGTTGTTTAGTATGAATATAGGAAACCCCAGAGCAAGTACTATTCTTCTGGTCTGGATGTCTGTCGGTTGGTGTGTGTGCTCTCTCCACTCAGTGCTGGAGACGTGTCCTTGATTCCCCAAGTGGTCCTTTCAGTTCTTTGATCAGATATATATGAAATTAACTGAGAAAAAAGTACTGACGGTGTTTTCAGTATTTTTTTTAAATTGCACCAATATTTACATCTTAAGATCCAGAATTATGTGAGTGGAAGCACTTAAAGTCTAGTAAGTATTAATCTCTCTCGTAAAATAACTATGCGTTATATTTATAGAATTGTTGTAATGCGTTTATTCCTTCAGTAGGTATTTAGGGATCACCTGCTGTGTCAGGCGTTGTGCTAGACGCTGAGGCAGTCAACAGGACAGACGTTCTCTTTACCGTCATGAAACCCACAGTGTCATGGGAGAGACAGGACGTGGAAATGGCGCTGGGACATAGAAGTAGAGATTTGGAAGTGTGACAGTTGAAACGGGAAGAGGGCTCTGAGAGTGATTAGCAGGGGACCTACCCTTTCTCGCTGGGTCCTTCCCGGCGGGTGTGTGGACAGGCAGGTTCGGTGCCGATGCCCTCATCGTACAGATAAAATCCACACGTTCAGTGAAGCAGAGTAGCTTTCCCGGGGATCACGTAGGGACGAAGCTGCAAAGTGGAGACAGGAACCAGACTGTCTTCCTTCTTCTAGTCCAGTTTCCTTTACGTACACAGCAGCCAGGTTTGCCACGTTTTGTTGGAGGCTGTGTCTCTGTCACCTACACATTAGTCATTTTGAGTTACATAATTACTGATTAAAAATACAACTTAGTTTTGTAGAAACTGTCACAAATACAAATATCTAATTCTGGTAATAGAAAGCAGTCTGTTCCAGTTCCATTTCAGAATTTTCACTTGAAAAGCAAAACCCAAACTCCTCTGGAAGATATTCAGGCTCATAGTGCACGGATGTATTTATATCACAAATCCAATGCACTCTACTCCCAGACTGGTCCTTTGTTGGTGTGTTCATTCATCTGTGTGCCAAGCACTGTTGGAGATACTGGAGGAGCAAACAAAATAGATGGAAGAGCCTGACCCCACGGAGCTTACGTGGTGTTGGGAGGCGGGGAGGGGCACACGACCGTCTGATGATTAAGGAGGATGGACAGTGTGTCAGGCTGTGCATTCAGGCACAGTTCACCACTCATGTTCGACATGCACCATCCCAGGACAATACGTGTTGATTGGCACCTTCCATGGTCTGGGTGGTGAGGGAAGATGACGCTCAGTGGGGCTGAGTGATGAGGGACAGTGTCCAAAGGCGGTGCTCCTCCTAACTGCTCTGTGACACTGCCGACATCCTGTGGGTTTTTGATAATAATTTCTGTCTTTGGGAAAGTGTTCCAGTTTTTAGAGAACTGAGCTGCGTGGTTAAGTTGTGAGGAGCAGCAGGATGGCACAGTGGGAAGAGGAGGGCGCTGGCTTTGGAGTCAGACATGTGGATTCAAACCCTGACTCTGCTGCTGCTTGGTTATTTGAACTCGGCAAGTTGTTAACCTCTCTGAGGTCAGGATCAATCGTACTTCCTAGGGATGTGAGGACTCAGGAGATGGCCTATCTGACTCAGTGTACCTGCTCAAGAGTACTCGCGTCACCGAGGTACTGAGAGGTAGTGTGGCGGCAAAGAGCGTGCGCTCTGGAGCCTAGACTCTGGTCCCCCCATGAATTCCTCCTTAGGCCTGACCAGCTGGGTGACCTTGAGCACGTTTTCAACACAGGTGAAGGAGATAACTCTCCACAGAGCACCTGGAACAGTGACTGGCACATCGTAAGGGTGTAGAAAATGTGCATTATTCTCACTGCTTATTATAACTGGCATGGTTCCTGACACATGGAAGGTCCTAAATAAATGTCAGCTCTTCTCTTCTTTGTGATCCTTTCTGAGGGGCATGCCTGCCTCTCACTGTGTTCAGGTAGTAGTTTTAAAATTCTCTAGAATTTGAGCATAAATAAGACTGAAGTATTGTGACAGCGCCATTTTCATCACTAGGGTGGGTTGCAGACTTGTCTTTGTTACAAATCTTAAGTGATCAGATACATTAAACCTTAAATGTTGCTCAGCAAACTTAGGGTCTTAAAATTCCTACAGTAGATTACTCAGTTAATGTTAAATTTTGAGACCAGTAGTTGTTGGAAGATATTTTAGCAGCAAAGGAGGTGACTTGTCACTGATTTTAGATTTATACAAATATAGTGCTGAACCAGTTGTAGAAAATTAGAGCTATAGATAAACTAAAGCAGCCTGTTAATGTCTCATTTGCTTCTTAGTATTTTCTGTATCTCCATGAATAGAATACTAGCTTCATGTTTTCTCTATTTGGAGGCAGAGCTGCTTTGTAAAAGCGTGGATTTATTATTTGAATATTCTATTTAAAAATCACTTTAGGCTTTTTTGTAAATGAATGTTGAATTGCTTGACTCAATCTTTCACTTGGCATTTTGTAGGAGTCCACTAAATGAGGATGTTTTTGCTACCAGAATAAAAAAGATGAACAGTAATGACAAAGACATAACAGAATTACAAGAACAAATTCACAAACTTCTCTTACAGGTAAAGTGAGAGATTTTAAAAAGCAAACACAAAGTTCCCATAATGGTGTTTTATTTTAACATTCAGTTTTAGTAAAGTCACTTCACAAAAGTAAACTGCAAAGAGAGAGAAATCCTTCCCTCTGCTTTCCAGAAAATGTTGTCTTCCTCTTTTTGTTTTCAAATTGAGTTTTATTCATCTTGTTTTCCTTTTTTATGTGTTAAATACACAGAACATTTTTGTAAGAACCTGTTGTAAGACAGCAGACTGAGTCACAGTGAGCAATAAGACAGAGAAGTTATTTCTAAATGAGAGGGTTCTTGTATCCCCAGTGCTACCGCTGTGCGCAGCCTCTGGGTTTTGGCTTCATGGTTTTAAAATAACTCCAGTGTTACAGGTGAGGGCAGATGGAGGGCCAGTCTCAGTTGTTACAAGGCAAAAGTAGGAAAACTACCTGTTGGAAACAAATAACCAAGGTGATTTCTACTAGAGATTCAGCCGATAAACTTGTGAAGTATTTACTGGTGGGGTCACATGGAAAACCGTTAGCCAGGTACTTTTCAAATGTCTTTCATAAAACCTCTAGGGTTTATAAAGTATCTATGAGATTCCTGGGAAAAAGTATGATATGTATGTAATTTGTTCTGTCTATTCTAAACTCAGCATAAAAAGCTAGAGTTTATTTTCATGTTTTGCTAAATTTTTTATACTATGGCTTTTTAAAAATTTATTGTTCCAGAAATACCCACCTAGACTAGGAAATTAGACTTTGCTCTTGAGAATTACTGAAAAGAGAGAGGAGTGTCCTTCATGTCAGCGTTGGGGTTAAAAGCATCAACCTTCACACCCCTGATTTAGGATGTCAGAAGTTTTCATCTTGATTTTCTGATGGTTTTAGATGAGCTCTGAGGTCGGTGATGCCATCTCTCTCCTCCACCCGCCACACGCGGTAACTCTAGAGCCCGGCCTCCCCTGTCTTTCAGCCGGTTCATGTGAGCGCCTCCAGTGGCTACGAAAGCCTGGGAAGCAGTGGCTCACAGGAGTACCACCTCAGCGCAGCATCTTCCAGCGAGTCCAGCGGGCACTGCGTGGAGGAGGCACAGAAGGAACCAGTAAGTGAGCGAACGTTGTGTTTCTGTCCAGGTGTCATTCCCCCGTCTGTGCTGCTGTCTGTAATATGTCAGTGCTACTTCTGCACCTCAACACATGTGCCTTCTTGCTATATGTTCTTGACTCGAAGACCTTACCCGGTAATAGACCTTCTGATCCATTTTGGTTCAGGAAAATGTCCATAAAAAGAGAATATCACCTCTGGAAGGTGAGATTTGGGTTAATTTTGTGTTTCTAAAAATAAGCATATTGTGAACAGATTTATTTAAAATTTCATTTGTACTAGTGTACTGTTGCACAGGAGGAAACTGAATTAATGTTATTACTGTGCTTTTAGTCATTATGTCTTCAGAGAACCAGAAGTTAAATGTATTTTGCTTATGTATCTTTTAATGTGCATTTTTATAGTTTTTGAAACATATTTTATCATTCTTTTCCCGAAGTTGACTTTGCAGCAGGTGTATGCCAGTGTAAACAAGATCAAGAATCTAGGTCAGCAGCTCTACATTGAGTCAATGACCAGATCACCAGATAAGCAAGTGATGGGCACACGCGTGGGCCAGCTTGGAGGTGAGTCAGCCGGGTGGCCCCCGCGGTCTGCCTCTTCTGCCTGGAAACAGAGCATGTGAGCACAAGGCCAGGAACCCATCTGCTGCTTTTCCTGTCTGCCTGCCCAGAGAACAATAGTAATAACAATAGTAATGGCAACAGCAAATACTGTTCTGAGTTAACTGAACAATGAGCGTTTCTTATAACACCAGCAAATTCATAGCTTCCCCCGTGTGACCTATTCTATAAACCAAAAGAGTTAATTTTAGAATACATTTCAGATAATAAACTATATTAAAATAATAATCCCTTCCTGTCATTTCAAACAAATGGAGAATATTTATGACCTAAATTGAATGAAAAACTCGGCCTTTTTCTTAATGCGTTTTGTTTTCTCAAATATGAGGTTAGGAGCACTGCAGAGGGATTGGATCAGTCATGATAACTGACGTTATTCTGAAAGGTTAACCTACTTGCATGTATGACAGAGGAGAGTTCTGTAATATAAGATCAAGTTGTGTTAACTTTTTAATTTATCTAATTTTCCCTTCACTTTTCTTCCTGAATATTAATAGAAATTTGGACGTCTTTATAGAGTGTGATCACCTAAATGTTATTAATGGTCTCTATCATTGTCAAATGTGGGTGCTTTACACAGCAGGGTGAACTTTCCTCTCTAAGGTCCCTAATAATAATAGTAATAATAATAGTAGCTGTATTCACAGGACTTGACATGATTACACAACCATAGAACCACACTGCTGCTCCTTCGGGTGACGGCACGGGGAGCCCATAGATGCCTTCAGAGACAGCAAGTCCTGTCCAGTAGTGTTTCCTTTTCACCTTGGCAGGAGGTTGAGCATTCTGTTTGTTTCTTTTGCTACAGATGCAAGGGCACAAAATAGAAATAAGAACTTTTTCTGTCCCTTGAAACCATCAGATCCCCTGTCTGCAAAAGGATTTATCTTCAATATCTTTCTTGCTGTGTATCATTATCCTATGTCCTGGCAGAGAAAATACTTTGGGGGTATTTTAAAGTTAAAATTTCTGAATATTTTCTTCGTTGTCTGGTCCAGTCAGTGCTGCCCGCCATGACTTTGGCCAAGGACCTCATCATATTAGTGCCACAGTTTTACATCCTGACCTCTGTGTTTCTTCTCAGAGTAGAAATCCTTCTCACCTTCTACATTACTCAGTTTCTTGTCATCTACCATTGGTCTGGCCATACCATCAGCACTGCTGTTTTAAAGGCTGTATGTTTAAACAGACATCAGTATTCCATCATTCACCATTTTGTAAGATTTAAGCTGGGGCTGGCCTGGTGGCGCAGCGGTTAAGTGTGCACATTCCGCTTTGGCAGCCCGGGTTTCGCCAGTTCGGATCCCAGGTGTGGACATGGCACCGCTTGGCAAAAGCCATGCTGTGGTAGGCATCCCACATATAAAATAGAGGAAGATGGGCACGGATGTTAGCTCAGGGCCAGTCTTCCTCAGCAAAAAGAGGAGGATTGGCAGTAGTTAGCTCAGGGCTAATCTTCCTCAAAAAAAAAAAAAAAAAGATTTGAGCTGTCACTCTGACTCTACATACTTATGCTGCAGTTTTAGAAACTGAAATTCTCCTACTACTTAGATATGTGCTCCATTTGACTCTAACACACACAGGATGTGACTTCTCGGGAGGAGGGAAATCTGTTGCCATTTGCTTTAACTTTGGAGAACTAATGTTATTTGGGCATCTTGATTTTATTAACGTTTTAAGACCTATAAGTTTGAAGAGCTGGTAAAAAATACTACTCCTTACTCAAGAGAAACAAGTATGCAACTTAAAAATGTTTATAATTTAAATTTAGAAATTGAGTAGAGATATACACCAATGAAAAGGAAACTACTAAATGATCATTGTGTGCATGTTTTATATACAGGGTGCTAGAGCCAATAAGAACATAAGACTTTAAGTTTATATTTTTATCTTTCTTACAAGGACAGGTTATGCTTTAAAATAGAACAAGAGGGAAATTTTAAAAGTTAATATAGAAGAGCAAGGAGCAAGAAAGAGATGTGAAGCCCCTTCATCAGCTACATATACTGATGCCAACTGCCAGAGAAGGAATTGGGGAAATTAGGGAAAATTGAATGTTCCACTTCTAGGGTTAAGCAGTGCCTGAGAGAAGATGATCCAGAAACTGAGTTAATTCATAGAGCTGGAAAGAAGATCATTCTAAACTTACAAGGAAAAAGGCCAGACAAACAGCAAGTTCATGATCTTTCTTGAACCCATCAGCATGCTGAGGTTACAGGCCAGCCAACAGACTAAAATCTGAGGAGAGATGCAGGCCTGCATGGGAAAGTGAGAGGCAAGCTCTGGCTGCTGGTGCACTGCCTCACTGAACCAAGGAACTTGCAAGAGACTGACCTTCTCTGAGGCGCGATGCAAAGGGAAGCAATGCAAAAGCTGAAAGTGGATCAGATATTGGCAGAAAAAGCTCTCTAGCAGACCCGCCCCTACCCGACGCACCAAGTATCACCAGAGGAGATTGAAAGCTGTAGTACATTGAGTGAAACCATAGCAATGACACACCTCACCCCAGCCTAAAACTTAGTTAAATTAACTCTAACAGACCTAGCAGAAGGAAAGCCATGCTCAGTGTGTACTGTTCTATACAAGATATTCAGTTCCCAACAAATCATAAAGCATAGGAAAAGGCAAGGAAAACAAACTCCCGAGAGAAAGCATCATCAGAACAAGAGTCAGATAGGACACCAGGATGTTGGAGCTATCTGACGAGGAATGTAAAATATCTATGGATAATACATTCAAGGCTCTAATGGACACAGAAGGCAACAAGCAAGGCCACAGGGGTAATCACAGCATAGAGATGGGACATAAAAGATCAAAGAGAGATGTTAGAAATGCTAGAGATGAATATATGCCTTTGATGGGCGTTAACCAAAAAAAGAATCAGTAAACTTGATAGATAAATAGAAATTACACAAAGAAACAGAATAGAGCATCTAAGAATTTTGTGGCCGTATCAGATGATCTAACATATGAGTAATTGGAATCCCAGAAGAAATACTTGAAGAAATAATGGCCAAGAATCTTTCACAGAGAACATCAAGTAGTATAAATACAAAGAAAAGAAAGATCCGCAAAATAAAACAACCACACACTTGAGCATATCATATTCAATGCTGAAAACAGAGAGTATCTTGAAGGCAGCAAGAGAAAAAAAGATAGATTACATACAGAGAACAAACATAAGAATTATAGTCGACGTTTCTTCAGAAACTATGCACACTGGAGGACAATAGAGTAACATCTTCAAACAAAAAAACTGTCAGTGCAGAATTCTGTACCTAGTGGAGAGTATCTTTCAGAAATGAAGGAGATAGAAAGATTTTCTCGAACAAAAACTGTGGGAATTTATTGCCAGCCTATCTATATCATAAGAAATGATAAAGGAATTTCTAAGAAAAACTGAATGTGATACCAGACATAAAACTTGGATCTACACAAAAAAATGAAAATCACTGGAAATGGGATAAATGAAGATAAAGTAAATTTTATTTTTTAATTTTTTAATTGGCCTTAAAGATAACTGACTGAAGCAAAAAGAGTATTCTGCGTTTATAGCGTATATAAAACTACTGCAAAGGATGGGAGAGAGGTATTGGGAATATACTGTTGTAAAGACCTTACGCTGTATGTGGAACAGTGTATTATTTGGAGGTAGACACTGATTCTTTAAATATATATATTGTAAACTTTAGGAAAATTATTGGGAAAAGTTTTTAAAGAAGTATAAATATGTCAGTAGAGGAGATAAAATGGAATTTAAAACACTCAACCCAAAAAGAGGCAGAAAAGGAGGGAAAAAAAACAAACAAAACCAGATGGAACAAATGGAAAGCAGCTAGCAAGATTGTGTATTTTAATCAGCTATATCAGTAATCACATTAAATGTAAATGATTTCAGTATACTAGTTAAAAGACTGAAATTGTCAAATTGGATGAAAAAACAAGATTAAGCTGCGTATTATCTACAAGAACACACTTTGAAAATAAAAACATACATTAAAAGCAAAAGGTTAGAAAAGATATAACACATTAACAGGAATCCAAAAGCTGAAAAGCTGTATGAAAGTCAGACAGAGTAGACTCTAGAACAAGGGACGTGATCAGGTTACAGAGGGATGTTGCATAATGACAAAGGGGTTGGTTCTCTGAGAACGTTTAACAATCCTGAATGTTTATGCACCTAACATCAGAGCTTCAAAATACATGAAGCAAATTAGTGAAGATGTGGAAGACCTGAACAGCATTATCAACAAGGTTGACCTAATTGACATTTATTGAACATTCCAACCAACAACAACATGATGCATATTCTTCTCAAGGGCACATGAAACATTCATTAACAAAGGCCATATTCTGGGCCATAATACAAACTTTAAGAATTTTTAAAGGATAGAAATCATACAAAGTGTATTCTCTGACCTAATGGATTAAACTAGAATTCAGTAACAGAAAGGTATCTAGAAAATTTCCAAATGTTTGAAAATTAAATAACACTTCTAAATAACCTGCAGGTCAAAGATGAAGTCTCTAGGGAAATAAAACATCTTAAACTGAATGAATTGAAAAGACAACATAAAATTTGTGGGATGCAGCCAAGCAATGCTTAAAGGGGAATTTATAGCATTAAGTGTTTCTATGGTAAAAGGAAGAAATGTCTTGCATCAGTGATCTAAGCTTCCTCCCTAAGAAACAGGAGAAAGAAGAGCAAATTAAATCCAAAGTAAGCAGAAGGAAAGAAAGAAAAAGACCAGATACCAGTTGAATTAAAAACAGAAAAAAATAAAATTAATGAAATAAAAAATGTGTCAACTTAAAAAGCAAATTTACCTGTTATTTTATCTCAAAATGAGTTTATTCAGGAATAGCCAAAAGAATTGCAATTTGGGATGTGCATGCTGTGGCAAACCACAGGAAAATCCAGAGAACAAGGGAGAGGAGTTGCT